CTTTCTTTTAGCAGTTGAACACCAACATAGCGCTAACTCGCCGAAAACGCTTCAAAATGGCCTGAGACGTTCGGAATCAACAAAGAAAACAACAAAGCAATAAGGTAAGCCCATTTTATTTCAAAACAAGACATTTTTTTCTCTCTTTTAAGGCAAACCGATAACATCCCTACAAACCTTTATAAATATAAAACGTTGCGCAACACGTTAAGAGTCACGTCCGCTTTTCCAGTAGTGAGCTTGGGCTGCCTGTGCACACGACGGTTGATTGACAAATGGTCTGGTGGGACCTAATGCTCTTTTTATAGAGCGCCTTCGTGTTTAAGCCAATGGCTGAGTCAATTTCGTCGCTGAGACCGGCGCATGGGGAGTAGGGACGGGAGGGTGGAGTTCGTGACCGCAAGGACCCCCCTCGTTTCTAAGACATAATCCCCAACTTCCTTCAAACAACCTAATAATCAGACACAATTCATGTAAAAGTTTCAAGTTTTATTCAAACAGACCAACAGTTGTAATGCGTCCGTATATCATAATTTTGAGATAAAAAAGTTTTTGTACAAATATGTCATAAATCTCTATTCAATAAAGCAATAACCTCAAACTTTTAAAAAGACCCAAGTCCATAAAAATTTCAAATGCGTGCGTTTTAAACGCAAATTTCAAACCAAAATTAAGCCTTTGGGTTCCGCTAATACTATGTACGTAATGACGGAGTTTGGTGGAGCCGAACAAGATCTCACGGCTCACAGAGCTGTCAAGGTGCGATTCACTGTCTACTCTTACAAACGTGTCAGTTATTCCGAATGTGCGTAGCTCAATTTTCAGCAGAGGGTATGTACTATATCAAAGTCCGGTTGATCAAAATCTTTTTGACAACACTGGGTCCGTGAGTCACGACTGAAAGCCAAACAAATCAGTCAATCAACTTAGTCTGACCCAACTCAGTCAATAACCATTTTTCTTGGGCGGCTTTTTCCCCAAATGTACACATTACACATTGACTATGAAAGATTCCCCAGACGCTGCAAGGGGAAAATACTCTTCAGCGCGAATAAACAGGTTTCAGCTTCTGAGGAACCTTGATAGCTAACATACAACAGGCTCTATAGATTTAAAACCTGTTCGCAGCTTTTCCCCCTTCACCATCACATCCAAGATCAACGCTACCCATACGCTACGCTACGCTACCCATACACTACGCAACCCAAGAAAGAAATCTGGAATAATCACTTATTTATGCCTTGTAATGATGCATGTCATGCCATCGAAAAAAAGTTAAAAAAATTAAAAAGTTCTATTACAATAATAAAAACAAATATAAATGTCACGTTTTAGCGCAAGGCAAACGGCAAATCAAACTTTTCCGGAGTGCCTTTAAACAGTTTAAAGTAGTGTCAATATTTACTTTTGTTGTGACAGAATCATAAAACCTGCTCGCTGTGAATGAGGTAAGTTTTTAATCTTTCAGTTAGAAAAATTTGAGGGTTAGAAAGCGAAACAAGTGGTAATTATAGCAAGCTCAGTTTAACGTTTATAATTTGGATATATCAAGAAAGTTGAAATGGTAAATTAGCCACCGTAATGATTACAAAAGCTGACGTTTCGAGCGTTAGCCCTTCGTCGGAACATTCGCTCCGACGAAGGGCTAACGCTCGAAACGTCAGCTTTTGTAATCATTACGGTGGCTAATTTACCATTTCAACTTTCTTGATATATCCAAATTATTTCGTTACTCCCACCGACGCAGCCCCAAACAGTTTCTTTCGAAACTATCAGCCTTTATTCAGTTTAACGTTTGCCTTCGCCGTAACCATTGATTGTTTATACGGTCTGCTTTCAGCAGTAGGTAATTTGTACACTTGAGTGAAACTTCTTGCATCTGTTACAATTTTTCTAGTTTCTTTAAAAGTCAGATACAAAAAAAAAAAGCTTTAGAGGAAGGACGAGGAAAGTGGAGATTTTGCCGTTTGCCGTTGCTATTATCGAAAACATGTAGTGGCGTGTTAATCACCATAGCCACAGCCATCTCATGAGACGTACATATGAATTTGTCTTCACGAAAAAAAAGGTAAAATATAGCTGAATATGCTCTTCTCTATGTTTACATATATATATATATCTATATCTATATATATAATCTCCTATAAAAACACTCTTGTGGTATAGCTTATACTGAAACGCAGTAATATCTTTTAAAGCACTCTTGTGGAATTCATAAAATTAATTCATACATGATATTGTTTTGGAATAGTATATCTGTAAGTTTTGATCAGCAAAAGCCGTAAGTCACCTTTTGTAAATCAACATTTGATAACCCTCTCTAGTTTTCAGAATTGCTTTGCAATTGTAAAGGCACAGTTATACGACCAAGCTAACAAAAAAAAAATGTACCTCAAGATCATTAATTTTGGTTTTATCAACTGAGTCGATTTAATTTAAATCGGCGACCGTAAAGAGTTTCTGAAGCTCAAACGAAGGGCTACAGCTCAAACCGTCAGCTCTACAAACTCAATTAACATCATCAACTCAGTTGATAAAACTAAATTATCTTGTAACAAGAGAATTCTAATACCTCCTGTGCATGCAGTACCGCAGTTCCTTTAGAAACCTACACTTTAAATTAAATGTACTGTTTTTCTCCAAATGAAACTAAGGACGTGAACTTGTTCTAAACACGAGACTAATTAAAAAAAAAGTTTAAAGTTAAGCGTTATTGGAGCTCTCACTGACTTCTCATACAAGGTGCCTGCTTTGTCTCTGGCCAGCGGATGTATTCCAAGCATGCCTCTCTAAGGTCGCGTAGCTGCAATTGTCAAATGTCTTGCATGTAATCCACTGCAGGTTTCTCTGTACCTATCTCTGTCACGAAGTTCAACAACCGATCTTGTGATTGTTCGTTACTCACTTTGCCTTTACCCCCTTGTGAATCCACAACACTCTCTGCTGCATCATCCAATATCTCATCTTTGACAGGAGTCGGGGTACATGGGGGAACACTGTCAGCTTGCTGCCTCTCTGCATCATCTGGTTCTTCGGCTGTCTATTAGTTTAAAGAGGCAACAAATGGCATTTTGAGCTAACTTTCATTTAGATGGTTGAGGAGAGTTACTGCGTTTGACACAAGATTATTCCCTTTTCCTGAGAACAAAGTCTCTTGGTGATCCTCAAGTTGCCACTCACTCACAGTTTGGTCTGCTTGATACAGGCCAGGTTAGCTATCAAGCCAAGTGGTTAACCCTTTACCTCCCAGAAGTGATTAACATATAACTTCTCCCCATAATAGCCGTACATTATCCAACAAACAGATGAAGAGAATGATGAAACTTATCAGGCAGAAGTTGTTATCTTGATCTATCACTACATTCTCATAACCAATTCACAAGGAAATGTGTAGAAACCAGAGGGAGAATTTACAATCAGATCTTGTGAGTTTAAGTGTTTAAAGTATTGCAAATCCCCCTGTTTGGGATATCTATCCATCATAGGTTACCTACAACCAATCAGGTAAGCAAGAAGTTCTCCCTGAAAAACAAAAAAGATGAATTAATTTTACCCACCTTGCCCTGCATCACACTGGCAAAAACATCTTCAGATATGGAGCTTGAGTCTGGGTACATTCTTAAAATATCTGAATTATGTCCTTCTCCCACACTGAGCATGGTTCTGTCAGCATCACCATATGAATGTTCCCTTCCTTGAGATAAATCCTCAGCATGATTGTTATGGATGAAACATTCTGCAACATGAGGTCCTTGCAGAGTTGAGCCTGTTGTTACACTTGGTGAAGGACTCTGTATATCAGGTAAAACCAGTTTAGTCTGATCTTGTAAGGTATCATCTAGATTTTCAGTAGATACTTTGTTTGAAGTTATTCTTGAAGTACATGGGACTGGAGAGGTTTCAAAGTGCACTCTGTGACGAGCTTTAGGCCTATCAAAAACAAAAAGACAAGTGTTAAAAACTGAGAAACACATGGTGGTTATTCGTCTGTGTGTTATGGGGTCTCCATTCCCCTTCCTCCTGAAGGGTGAACTTCTTAGCACATGCTAGTGCTTGCTTCATGGTTGATCTCCAGGATCACTGGATGATAATAAAGGTCCTAGGCTTAAAATAATGAATGGGAAGTTAGAAGAAAATCACTGAAAAATCACTCACTTGGGTTTTGTCTTTCGTCTGTATGCTGGTCCAGTTCCTTTGCCAAGACTCCTGGAAAATAAGAAAATTAAAGTGCAGATTAGAGAAAAAGTAAACTCAATGTGAAGTTATTTGCATTCTTGTATCAGTTGGCATTAATTTACATGATTGTTGTACAGAGCTGCACTAATGAGGTAACTTACATGATCTTCAAAGGCCAAGTTTCAGGCCATTCCACAACATAGTTTAGTGAAGTTGGTTGAAATGCCAAAGTTCGTCTGTTGTATCCAAAGGGATTCAAACTTGTGCGAGAATTGTAACGAAGATTTTCCACCCCTGCTGACTACAGAATTAAGAAAATAAAAGGTAAAAAACTGAATGAATTGCACTTTAGGAGCTTATTGCTCAAGTTAGGTTATCCGTAGCTTGGTATGAAAAGGTGTGATGGAATTTGTAAGATTTTGGCAATTTAATATAAGACATTGTGCCATTGATGCTCTTTGGGCTAAACAGGTTACATAAAACAGAAATAAAGATAACTGAAAATACACATAAATTATCTAAGCCAGGATTCTGGTTATTGTGGGAGATTGACTGGCTCCCTTCAGACTCAGGTCTTCGTAGTTCAAGTAGTGGCCTGGTCTCTCACAGTGACACTATCTACTCTTGGAATCTCTTTAATTTGGAGTTTGAAAAGTTGTTGATGACGAATTACCAAATGACAAAACTAAAGCAAATGTGGAAAGATAACCATGAAATCCCTAATTAGGCTATGACTACAGCAGCCGCAACAGTAGTAGTAGTAGTAGTAGTAGTAGTAGTAGTAGTAGTAGTAGTGAACTTTATTTATGTGTCGTGAAAACCTAGCGCACAGCACTAATTGGGGACACAGGGTAAAAGCTTTAAAAATAAGAAATCTGGAACCTATTTACAGAATTATTTACCTAACCTATTAACAGTTAATTATTTATCAATGTCCTAGAGTTAAAAATCAACTATTACAGTGCGCACATTTTTTGCATCCATCACCAATCATGACAGTCATGTCCGTTCTCCTGATTTTGCTCTTAAATCCGTGCAGGCTCTCTTCACTGCGTAACTCTTTTGTAAGTTTTGACCAGAGGAGAGGGCCATAGTATCTTATAGAGTGTTTACCATATTTTACTGTATTAAAGCGAGGGATTCTAAAATCTGCATTTCTTAGAGAATATCTTCTATCGCATTTTACTTCTGACATAAATAGTTCTTGTATTTGACAAGGAAGTAAGTTCTTTTTTGCCTTGAACATAAGGATTGTATTAATATTCTCTTCCATATTTTCATGCTCCAGATGCCACATTACAGCCCAACTAGAAATAGAACTCCTCAGGCAATCAAACCCTTTAATGATTGAATAAAGTGTAGATCAAAGATACCTACAGGACTACCAGACCAGCCACTAAATGAATAACCCAATCTGTCTTGATTCACAGCAGCTGTTATTCCTTGTGACTTGGCAGGAGGAAATGTCAGGTTTAATTGTCTGTCTGCCTTGGCCTGCATGTACTGCACAGCCTTCTGATCATTACCATCCACTGCATGTTGCAAGCCTGCATTTAATCTGAAAAAGGAAAATTTTCAGATTTAAACCAACTTTTATTAGCAGGTGAAAAACAATTGAGGTAATGTTGAAATTATACCAAGAGACTCAAAGTGTAATGTGCTGGACTGCAGGTCAAGAGGTCCCGGGTTCTAGATCTGACTGAGTTAACTTATGGAAAAGTCTTTATTCTCAAGATAGCTCTCTCCACCCAGAAGTAAGTATAAATGGATACTGGCCAATAGGCCATTTTACAGTTGTGTACTTAGTTGCCAAGCCTTTGATTCAGAGTGAAGCTAAAGGTGACCTTGACGTGATAGAGACCTGTATCTAGTTAGCATGATAACAAAGTGATTTACATTTGAAAGGCAGCAAGGTTTGTATCATAACAAGGTCACCCCTAGCCTCACTCCCGTCCAAAGGCTTGGCAACCAAGCACACAACTGTAAAATGGACTATTGTCAGGGAAGCATGATGAAATACTAGGAGTTAACCTTGTGATGGGCTAGCATCCCATCCAGTGAAACTGTGGTGCTGCATGGCATGGGTGGGGATATTACAAGATAATTTGGTATTATCAACTGAGTTCATGATGTAACTTGGTCAGCAGTGCACATTTTGTAATTCGTCAAAGGTGGTACCATGACCCCCCCGGTTCAAGAGGTTGGGAAGGTTATAAGCTCCCTTATAGACATCAGGCTCCAGTTGTTCTCAGGTTGGATTACATAATGCTATACGTTTTGCTATCACTTATCTATTGGATAGCGATTTGTCCATTGGATAGCATTACATCTGCCCTTTATACAACTGGGCCCAGTTCATTTTATTTGTGTTGCTTCACATTGCTCACACGTACAGAGTTCTGGCTTCTCCATCCAGCTCACCCTTTGAAAAGTACTTTGTAACTATGTCTAGCTTTTCTTTGAAAAAAAAAAATTATCACTGTCTGTGTGTATGCCTTTCCTGGACTATTATAGTTATCTACTACAATCAGATACAGTTCTTAGCATCACCACCCCAAAATCCAATCTTGATTGCAAAGCAAACTTGGAATTTTACCTTCTGTGGGCCTTCTGGCGGGCAGCTGACAGGTCAGGGAAAAATGAAGAGTTCTTGCTTGACACAGAGGTTGCCTCTGAAAGAAGAAGAAGGCAGTTCATCATAGTAGTCCACAAACATATATAAACACAGAATTAACCTTGTCCAAAAGGCCCACACCTCACAGGTCGCTATAAAATTTGAGGAATCCTTGAAAAGGCTGAATGTCTGTATCACCACCACCCCTTATGTCTACCTGACTTATTTACAAATAGCTCTCCATGAAGTTGTGAGTATTTTTTTTAAATCCTATGTGAACAATCAGAGTAATTAGAACTTGAATCAGACAAAGTGATGTGGGCATTAATCAGCATAAGAAAGCATGCCTGGTGGCAAGACAAGAATCTGGGCTCATTTCATGGCTTGGCAATTTTATTTTGGTCAAACAGGCAGGTAAAGCCTGTTTATGAGCCAAGTGACCCATTGGGCTGGCGCTTAAATCTGATTCTGTAGCACCAAGTAACTAGGAGTATTTTTTTAAACACCTAGGTGAAGAGAGGCAAGTCAAGTGTCTTGCGCAAGAACACAACACAGTGTCCCCCCGCCAGGACTTGAACCTGGGCCACTTGATCCAGAGGTGAGTGCACAAACCATGAGGCCACAGCAACTCCCCTTACTGAAAAATTGTCAAGATAGCACAAGAAAACTTAAAAACCAATGGTTGCCTGTAACTCTTCTGCCTGTAGAGTAATCAATTATATTGAATGGTGAAAAAGCAAAAATGAAAAATTCCTACCACTCAAAGGATGTACCAGGGGTAGAACATCTTCTTTAGCTGGTTCATGCACATCAGTTCTTGAGTATAATGATAATCCAGTCTATATAACAAATATTCAAGTAGAAGATTGATTCGGACCCCTTCAATCACTAATATAGTACGCAATATTCTACTGCAAATTAACCTTCCTTAATTTATCATATCGCATAACTTACATCATATCGTCGTAGTAAGTGTCCAAACATCGTTGCAGCCAATAGAAAAATCTCTTACTATATGTAGTGTCTGTGATATCAGGGTTAATCCTTAAACCAAACCCTCAGAAAAATATTTTAATTTATAATTTTAAATCAGGGAACTGACAATTAAAAAGTAGAATACTTGATTCATTTAACGAATAAAAAGACCATATCTACGCCATATATGATTATTTTATTACATTCGGTTTATAATTCATGAAAATTGAAAGAGACATGTTTCTATGGCTACCAAGTCGGCGCTGAGCCAGTCGCCTAACACAGAAAAATTCCTTCTTTAGTGTGAATTTTCAGAAAACACAAAAGTACACAAAGCAACAGTTTTAAAAAATAAGGCACTTTCATTAAGATTCAAGCTCAATCTTATCATTAGACGCTAATTCATTCGAAAGAGCGAATTATTTATGATGTCCATCGCAGACAACGAAATCAAATTACTCTTCAGCGAGAGTAGATAACAAAGAACTCGCCACGGGGATTAAGATTAATTATGATCATAAGAGTAACAAGAAAAAACCTCTAAACCATGCAATTAAAGGATTTCTTTTACCTTGCTCTGTTTTTCGTCGATTCGAGCCAAGATTTGCTTGACCGGGTCAACTTTCCTCCTATGCTGTATTCCATAATGAAAACCGCAAAAAAATTAATGAACACACGAAGTCAAGAGGAAAGCCAGTTGTTTATTAAAGGGGGTACTACTAGCCTGTTAGATGAAAAGGATACTCTTACCTTTTTATAAACTATCATTTGACAGCCTGTAGAGAATCCAATACGTTATTTTTCCTCCAAGAAAAGCTGAGGTTGTGGAGAACGACCAAAAGGCAACCCTATTACTATCAGTTTTCGCATGCCAACAAATCAAGCTCTCCAATTCCCCGATTTACATTTTTTTTCTCTGCTCAATAATCTTATCAATCACCTCTTTGCCTCGTGTTTTCTAAACATGGCTGAGAAATAAGTTCAACCATTCCCGTACGTGAAGGTACCGCAATTGTCTTCAAAGAAAGAAACTGTGCAGCAAAACAAAGCGCAACACAACGGCGCGATAAGCGGTCGGCTAACAGCTGCCAATCAAATTTCACGAACGTCAATTACTGGGGCACCTCAAATTAACTCTCGTGGCAAGAATTTTTTTTTAAAGATTATCTTCCACAAAAAGAAAAGAGTGAAAATATTCAAATATTCATACAGCTTTGAATATCCTGGGTTAGAACGTGATTTAATACAATCAGCTTAAGAACAACATTTTCCCGTCAAATTATAACTACTATGCAACTGTCAGCTTTGATTTGATTGATCTAGCTAACATGTCTACAATAATTAAAATTGCATAAAATGTTTAACTGCAATGCCCCCGTGAAACCTTCCAAATTTATTATTTAGCAAATGAGCAACCTCAAAAATGTCCTATATAAAATGAATTCAAACCAATTTAACAAAACAACAGATTCCATGTTGCTGCATCTCATCTCATTTTTATTTGTTTGAGCAGGTTGAGTTTTATGACAGCTATTTTGCTGATGTGGACCTGCTATCTTCCCACCTATCCCATCCCAGGGGAGGACATCCATCACACAGTAATCTCGTGTGTGGGAAATTAACGACTCCTACCCCTAATCCTGCAGGAGACCGAACCTATGGTTTATTCGTCCTTATCTGAGAAGACTACAATATCTATCCATTTCTTGATATTATAGAAAGGTAGCACATTCTACTCAGTTATTTCAAGACCCTGAGTGTTGGTCCGGGTGGGGCTTGAACCCTTAACCTCCCACACAACAGTCTGGCACTCTAACCAATTGAGCTAACCAGCCTGAGGAGGCAGTTAGTCATATGTTAAAAAAAAAACAACAACAGAGGTGAAACAAGAGGTTCCTATCTGGCCAATTGCAAAGCTACTTTTACAGACTGGCAGTTTGTATGTGTAATAATTTTTGTATTGCCATTAGGCAGGGGGGAGTAGAAATGTGGTAACAGAGGGGGGGGAGAGCAGAATTGTAAGCTCAGTGGTTGCACATTTAGCAGAGATAATTCCACAACTGCCACAGAAGTCTGCCTCACATGTTTAACAAAGATTGTGAGCTATAAATTGACTTGCAATGTATAACCAAGAATAGTTTGCTATGAGCAAAATGTTTTGAAGATATTAATAATTATAGCAAACTCATACCAAAGCTACCGACCGCTGAGCTACCAAACTAAATGTTTAGAGAAGGGTAATTCCTAAAAGGGAGAAGATCTATGGTTGGCAATAGCATGCCATTATCAAAATCACCTGCACTAATAAAATTAACCCTTCACCCTCCAATATCTATATATAATATTTTCCATATATTTCCTGAGATATTGACCAGGGTACTTAATTTGATACCAAGAGGTTCTTGTAGTCCACAAACATTTCTTTTATTCTCATTACCTTAATGTTTAATTTAGAAGTGGTACACTGTTAGGAGTTAAAGAGTTAGTGAACCATTGTTTCCTATTAATTATAACATTAAAAAATTTATTTTACGAACAAGTGCAAATAATTGCCCTTCTCATCCCTAATCGTCATTGTCCTCTTGTTCTTTTTCCTTTTCATCATCTCTCATGGTTTTCAATTTCTTTATAAGTTCTTTGGCCGGATTGAACACACCATTAGTCTGCGTACCACACACATAACACCTTTTGCTTTTCTTGTAATGTTTAAGAGCACATGCTTCACAGAAGTAGTGTTGACACTTGGTGACAACTGGAGCTGTGAATGATTCTCGACAAATAAAACAGGCAAATGGAAGATCATCATCATCATCACTTGCAATTTCGTACTGATTTGGATCTTGTTTGCTGTAATTTCCTTCTTTCCATTCCCGTTCAAGTTGCCAGCCATGTTTGTAATCACTGCGATCATGCAAAAACTTGCAGCTGTCACCAAATCCACAAAAACCAGTTTCCTTGTAATCTTTGCATATATCTGGCTGATAATCCCAACGAATGGTTGCACGTAAATTTGCTGGTGCTCTGATAGGTCCTTGTCTGAAAGCAAAAAAATGTTAAAAAAATATGAAATCTTCTGATTAGGTTTCAAAATTAAAAATGTCTCTGAACAGTGAACAGACAGTAAAAAACCAACTATGATAACTTATGGTGAGCAGACAGTAAATAACCAACTATGATAACCCAACTTACAGGCCTACCAAAATCCAAGACAATCAATCAATTATGGATCTCTCTTATTTTAAACATAAGCTTAACCCTTGACACTCTAACATCAGTATGCATATTCTCCATACAGTTCTCTATACATTTTCTAGGAAGCTAACAAGGAGAATTTGTGTAACAATCAAGAGCTTCTTTAGTTGATAATCATTTCCTTTATTCTTGAGACCTTTACGTTTGATTCAGGGGTGACATTGCGAGGAGAAATAGGAGTGCTCTGATTGGTTAATTCAGCATCTACCATTTGCCCATGGGTGTATGCTGCTGACGTGAGCAAATGCAAAAACTAGTTTTCCATGCGCTTGTTTTTTCTGGTCATGCAATATTTGTTAAATAAAAGAAAACTTCTTTTGCTACAATGTAGCATAAGAAGTTTTCAAGAAGCTAGAGTCTCGTGTGGGCTATCGCATTGTGTGACTCTTATGCTTCTTTCATGCTTAGCAACCTCCCATATGCATCCATAATTCAAAAGTATATGCTGTGGTGTTTACCATTTGTTAAAAAGTAATAAACTTGAAAATTGAAACTTTAAATTTGCTTTAGTATAATGAGACACTTCAAATGGCAAATATTGATCAAACAGTTTCACCACGGGTAACAATCCCAATTGCACAGAGTATGCTTGGAATCTTAAAGTTAACCCAGTTAATATGAAGAAAAAATTTCCTTGTTGAAGAAAAGTGAGTTTATCTTGAGTCAACTCTTATCAAGAGCTGATTCAGATCAAGAACCTGATGAAAGAACCAAAATTGATGAAACAGAGGAAGGTTTGTGTTAATATATGTAGAAATTATGGTAAAATTGAAGAAGAGCTCCCCAAAATATCTATCGGCCAACTGTCAGCTTAGATTTAGCAATACAAAACACGAAATTGGAAGAGTTTAGTTACTTAGATTACCTCAAAATGAATTTTGACAAACATGACAGAGGTAGATTTCGAGTGTGAGGCATTGTTGGCCATATGGATCGTCATTTATGTGAACTTCATGTGTAGTATCTGACTGACACATTTCGTTCCACTGAAATTGGAAGAATTTAGTTACTTAGATTTAGCAATACGAGTAAATTTTTTCAAAGACACAAAATTGTACGAGCTCGTGTTTTTGTTGTGTTTCTGTTGTGTTTTTGTTGTGTTTTCTGTGTTTTGCTCACCAACAGTTGGCCGACAGTTGGCCGACAGATATTTTGGGCAGCTCTTCTTCAATTTTACCGAAATTATCAAGTGTTACCCTCTCAGGGCTCAACACAACTTTTCAACTTACTAGCCAAGTGGCTGGTGACAACTTAGATGTTACAACAATTTCAGTTTGTTTACTAGTCAAACTGGCTGGAAGAAACCGAAAACCACTAGCCAAAACTGAATTTCTACCAGTCTGTGGCTAGTTGGCTACCGTTAATGTTGAGCCCTGCCTCTTAAATCAAGAAAAAAGCAATTTGTAATGATGTTTATAATCCCTAAAATATTTTTGCCTGTGCATCACATCAATGAATTTCACCCAGCTAGAACTGGGGGGATATCCAAGGATATAAACCAGAATGGTGGAAATAATATTTCAGAAAGTTTCAATTTTCAAAATTTTTCTGGGGGAAGCATACATCCAGATCACACTAGCCATGCTTGCTACACAAGCACAATATAATTTAGCTTGTTCAGTTCGGAGCACATCTTTTACATTTCCTAAAGAAAACCCTGACTGTGAGATGTTGAATTAGCATAGACTCCATCTAAAGAATAGATCTCTTCTTCACTGTCTACGGTTCACCCCTGGGTACACGTTACCTGACCATTCCACTAGCAGCATTTCCCTGTGCATTCCCCTTTTTTTCATAGAATGTCATGTAGTTGTTCAATCCCCTGTACTGTTTATCGTCTTTCTCCTGACCCTTCAGTTCTTGATTTGTTTTCAAACTCTTTTCAAACAAAGCCTGTGCGTCTCGATCAAACTCTGTATCAATCTCCACAGTTGCTGTGGCTCCAAGATCTTGTGGTCCTGTTCGCATTGCAGAACGCGTTGATTTAAACGTAACGTCAAGGTCATCGTCTAACTCTTCACGATTACGTCTGGACTTCGAATCAAACCCATCAGTCTTCTGGAACATTGGGTTAGAAAGCGGCTTTTTTTCCTTTCTAATCACTGTTGTAACATCTTCATCTTCACTGTCTGACTTTTCAGCCTTTCTCTTCCGCACATTTCGATTCCTATTTGCCTTTTTAAAGAAAGTACAAGTAGGTTTTTGAGACGAAATCTCTTCTTTACTTTTGGCACTCTCGTCCGCCATATTGCTTTGTCATTTATAGAGTCCAGTCTTTCTGAGAAATATCCTCTCTCCCCAGCGTCTACTCGATTGAACTTATCCGCGTGTTTAGAATGTTGTCATTTGCTGTTATGTGTGGGGTTCTTCGTGGTTGTATGGTCACCGTTTTGTCTTATTTACGTTGTGACTGACGTTCTTTGTGTTCACTACTGTACTTGTGGTTTGTTTTTTAGCTGTGTATACGTGTTAAGTAGATGAATTATCAGCATATGTCGTGTTTTTCTTTGTAATTTCGTGGTGTACATGTAGTAAATCTGTTCTGTGTTCTCAATGTGCTACTTTTAAGATTTTACGCGATACACTTGTTCTTATTTGATCATAACACTTCAAGTGCTATGAAATGACGAGAAATCTTGCTGGAGCACCTGATTTGTGCGATGAAAGTATGAGAACCATGGAAATGATGAATTTTGGTGGAGACTGAACTGAAAGTGACTGATAAGAACCACAATTCTGATCCACTTGCCACTAATTACCTAAGGCCAGTTTATGGACAACATTTCAATAGTATTATAGATTGAAAACAATCTAGAATTGGTTGAGGAAGTTGGATAGAAAAAAAACACAAGGAAACAAATATGATAATAATAATAATAATAACACCTTTATTTAGACACGATAGTGTTTAAAGCTAAACAGCTTGTGGGGTCGTGTAAATGCAAATAAACTCTAAATTAAATAAATTCAAATGATGATGGTTTTTGAGGAGAGGGGAAAACCGGAGTACCCAGAGAAAAAAACAGAAAAAAATATTAGTATAATTTTAGTAATTAATCGTCACCTAAGTATAGTTTTTGTTAATTTTAGCAAGTTAGTGTTGTATGTAATGTTTGCCCTTGACAGAGTAATGTTGGCCCTCAGAGTAGTTTCATAAGTAGTTTTGTTTTTATTGTTAAAAATAAAATAAAAAAACAGACAAGTGAGATCAAAATACTTTAATAGCCTTATGGTAATTTCCATTGATCAGTGACCCTCAACACTAATGATCAGCCACTTTACATGCATATTAACGCCAGCACAGTACAAATTAACAAAGTCTTTGGTACAAAAATAAAATTCACCCAACTAAGGACTAAGGCATGTGGAACAGAATCCTTATGTAAAAAAATGGCAGTAAAACACATCAGAACCCTGAAGGTGAACACAACCCAAACATCAGATATTTTTTATCCTGGTCTAAAATAAATGGCTTCGCAGCAAATTAAAGGAAACACATTTTAGATGCAAAATTGAATGGTCTTTGATATTCCATTTCTTCACTGTATATATTCCTTTGTTCAAAAATACTGATCACATACAAAGAATCAAACTAATGGTTATGAGTTGTGAACTAACCTATGTACCAAATCAAAACATAAAAAATTAATTTCTAGTTCTTAAAAATAGCCCTTCAAAGTTTCCACCAAAATAGGACTCAAATCTTTTCCCCTTTTTCACTTTTGGGTATTCCCTACACATGGAGCCCTAAGTAACACGTGAACATCTCAGTTTTGCTAATGTGGAAGGTTAAAAACTGAACAAAGCAAGGAAAAGAGTCTGTCTAATACGTGCCATACTTCAAACAAAGAGAGCACTCTTGTAAAATAAATGTATCCATGAATGAGTAAAGTCCCACAACTTGACATTTTTGACTTAACACCCTGAGAGAAATTCTGTTGGTTTACTTTTGTTCTAAAATAAATATTTCTATAATTGTCATTTATAAACCACTGTAAATAAACTCGTCAACTATTTCTGCTCAAACAGGCAGCCACCACCAAAAATTTAAAGTCTTACTTAGGTTTTTAATTCTAAGATTTGATTCATAGTAACTTGCCTTCATACTGCTGTACACAGGGTTTATTCTACAGATAGTTTATTCAGGGTTTATTCACAAAAAAATTGTATGTTGAAGTGACACATGTGGTAGTAAATTAATCTTTGAGTCCAATAATTGAAAGCAACGGAGGATAAAGGGAAGGTGATGAGAAATTCTATCTTAAAGTTCCCCACTTAAAGCAAATTGCTGTTGTACATGCATGTACACTTCAAAATGGTAAGTTCCATGACACAATTTCAGCAATAATTGAGTGTCAGTTGCAAAATGCCTGCAACAAAATATCCTTGACCGGCTGAATCCTCTGTTATCGAAGCTCTCTGCTCAGCCAGGAGTCAGAAATTCATGTGAAGGGGTGAAGTCCCACAACTTAACGGTTTTGTCGTAAGATCCGGAGACAATGCTATAATCATTGAACTGTAAGCATGTCACTCCATCTGTGTGACAACGTAATGTCAGCAAACGCTGTCCACTTTCCAAGCTCCACATCTGTTTTTCAAAGATCCAGAAGAGAAAATATGGAAAAACAATTGTAATATTCACATTTTTGACTCACAATTTTATTGCAATGACACTGGCACTGACTATAATCCGTCATTCAATTCAAATTGGTGTTAAGTTTCACAGGAAAATTACATTAATCCAATAACTTCCACAGATGACCAAGGCATAATTTCTCCTTACAATATCACTACAATACCTAGCAGACACGTGATGAGAACAAAGAAAAATATCAACTAGGGAATTGTTAGTTGATCCAATACCAAATTCTCCACACCAAACACATAAGAATTGTCTGGCAAAAAGTAGGGAGAATTAATAGTGACAACTTGGGAGTGGAAGGATTAAAACTTATGGCCTAGTCAATTCCTACTAACAGCAGCTTACTAGAATCACAATGTTACCTTCAGTGTTTTGTCATCACCAGCACTCACTATTCTCCAACTGTCTGTCTGAAGACATCTATCAAAAGAGTTTCACACAAGATATCATAAGATGGCAGTTGAGAAAAATATGAACCAAGTACTATCTATATCATATACATCTGAATCTTATCTTGAAGAGCAAGGATGGCCCAGTGGTGAGAGCCCTCACCTCCCACCACTATGGCCAGCTGAGGGTTCACTTTGTTGTTGGTTCTTGTCCATGTTCCCAGGATTTTTCTTTGGGTCCTCCAGTTTTCCTCTCTCCAGAAAAACCAACATTCTAAATTCCAATTTGACCTGGAAACAGTGGACAAGAAGAGCCACCTTGTGGAATGTCCATTGTTAAATTCCTATTCCAATTCCCACTTATTTACTTTAATACCTTATAACACCAGTGTGACCCTCAGATCTGATCCAATCCAGAGTGCCAATGCACTGAAATAGATAAAAAAAGATAAAAATTATATCAAACAATATCAGGTTATTCACAGGGAAAGGCTACAAACTCTTAACACAACACAAGTAAACAGTAACTATTGTAATCATTTGATTACCTTTCCAGTTAGCAGATCCCAAAATTTAAGATTGTGATCCAGTGAGCCACTGATAACCTTCCTGCTGTCAAATGTTAAATTCAAACAAGTGACAGCATCATGATGGCCTGTCAGTGTCATAAGACATGAACCCTCTGTCAGACTCCACACCTGTAAATAACACACCTTATTATCCAACTACACTTAGACGAGTACAAATAACACCATAGACGAGTACAAATATCACGCGGTATTTGTACTCATCTGTTGTAGAGTACCGGTTAAACAGGTTTTCTCGCATCGTGCAAGCGAAGAATTGGATTGTAGTTACGAAAAAAAAAAAATAAGTAGCGGATAATTTGAATCATATTTCCTACGACAAAGAGTCAAAATGGCTGGAAAATATAAATTTAAGTTTATTAGATGAATTGAGCGAAGAAAAACAGCTAGACGACCAGAAAATTTCTTCATTTTATGAAGAAAAAAGAAACAGCCACGTAACAACGCGCCAATCCCGTTCTGCTTCACATACTTCTGTCACGCACTCCCCGTAAATAAATATTCACGAAATTCTCCCGCTGAAACAACAGTTTGGCATGTTGGATAATAAATAACTTATTAGACATTTTGTTGTGTAGTATCGCTGAGTATTTTTACTCGTTATTTGTATTTTGACTTGCCCTACAGGCCCGTCAAAATACGGCACAACTTGTAAAAATACTCACCGATACTACACAACAAAATGTCTGAAAAGATATATTTATTATCCAACTACACTTCCTAGAGTACAAATAACCCCATACATGAGTACAAATATCACACGGTATTTGTACTCTAGAGTACCGGTTCAACAGGTTTTCTTGTATCACACAAGCGATGAGTTGAATTGTAGTTACAAAAAAAACAAAAAGCGGACAATTTAAATCATATTTCCGAGAACGAAGAGTCAGAATGGCTGGCAAATATACATCCAAGTTTATTAGATGAATCGAACGAAGAAAAACAGCTAGACGACCTGGAAATTTCTTCATTTATTGAAGAAAATAGAAACAGCAACACGACAATGTGCCAATTCCGTTCTGCTTCCCATACTTCTGTCACACGCTCCCGGTAAATAAAATTCCACGAAATTCGCCCGCACTCAAATAACCGTTTGGCGTGTTGGATAATAAATAACTTATTAGATGTTTTGTTGTGTAGTATCGCTGAGTATTTTTACTCGTTATTTGTATTTTGACTCGCCCTATGGGCTCGTTTGGAGGCGCGTTGACCTTATGGTTAGTGCGCTTGACTCCGGATCGAGTGGTCCGGGTTCGAGCCCTGGCCGGGACATTGTGTTGTGTCCTTAGGCAAGACACTTTACTCTCACAGTGCCTCTCTTTACCCAGGTGTATAAATGGGTACCAGCAAATTTAATACTGGGGGTAACCCTGCAATGGACTGGCATCCCATCCAGGGGGGAGTACAAATACTAGTCGCTTCATGCTACAGAGACCAGAGTTAAGCACCGGCCTAGTGGGCCACTAGCCTCGTAAACAGACTTTACCTTTTACTACACAACAAAATGTCTAATAAGATATATAACTTGTAATGCTCTACAGCTAGGTGACATGATCCAGTGATATATTACCAGTACTAAAGACTCTGGTCAGATTGTCTTCTATTTTCTGAGTACTGTAAAAATGTGTGAACTTGCAGATAAGCCACACCTCCACTCTGGCAACTCAAATTTTGGAGATGAAGAATTTGGGAAAAATATACAAGTGGAGTCTTGAGAAAGTTGCTTTTAAATATTTTGGTTGCTTCATCAAACATACAAACATACATACATTAAGTCACCAGCACTGAAGAGAGAAAATACTCTAAATTCTTAAGCTGGAAAAGTATAGTTAACCAAACAGTATTTTTTTTTCATTCCACTCAGATTTTCAAGAACGTTTTACAAGAATTGACAGGAAATCTTTAGTTTGTTCCTGGGTCCTTTGTAGTTTAGTAGCCAAGCATAATTCTTATATTACTAAAAATAGACAGGTAAAAACCAACTATGTATTACTAAATCTTTGTTAGTTACTAAAAATGAACAAAAAATTAATATATTTTTTTATTAGCTTTAGAAGTTAGTTAGTTACCTTAATAGTCTTGTCATATGATCCAGACACTATTTTTCTGTCGTCAAACTGAACACATAGCACTGCAGCATTATGACCCCTGAATGATAAAATGATGTCGTAGTTATTACTCAACAGTTACTTTCAAATGCCAAAAACACTGAACAAACTAAAAGTAAACACTACCTCAAAGTTAGCTGGCAATTTCCAGTCCTAATATCCCAGACTTTGAGGGTCTTATCGTACGAACCACTAACAACCTTCTCATCATCAACCTGGTGTGAAAGAGGAAAAATAATGGAAATGAATTTTTTATCAAAACATTCATGTTAGACATTGCAAGTAATCGTTCATTTTAAAACATTGTTACCTATAATTATAAGTTTTAAAATTCCTCCTTAACAAGACCAGTTAATGAAAAAAAAATAAAAAAGTGTGTGCACTAAGATGAGAGTATGTCAACAATGTCAGTAATTAAATCTGTGCCTCTCAGGTTTGTAGAACTGTTTCAAATTCTATCCATCCCTTGGTCTCTCATTGCTTAGATGAGGCTAATAAAGATAAATATAGGAAAAGTCCTTCACTGCACATCGATAATCATCATAATGATAAAGATGCATTTATCTTGCATATTCTCCATACGAATAATTTATGCTCTAATGCATTTTATTACACAACTTGGGCAATCAGAGGGCCAATAACTAAAATCAACCAATCAAAATGCTCTATTGCCGGTCAATATTTTCTCAGTATTGGACCGGGCACTATCCCGAATGGTCCCAAATGATACCACACTCGTGTCCCTTTGAACTTCAGTTGTATAATAAATCTCTTATTAACCAAGCCTGCTTGGGACCCTACTGGAAGAATATCGGCCCTTGATCTCTTTTGTATGGACCGAGCGCAGCAAGGTCCGTACTGTCAAAACCTCCGGCCAATATTCTCGCAGTACGGCCCTCACGCTTGGTTAATAAGATATATTTATAACACTGTGTGGGGGACTTTGGTGAGACAGCTGGGAGAAGTTTTCCAAATTTTTGAAAGGAGACAGGTGGGAGGCTCCTTACCTGAAGACAGCGGACTGTGTGCATGTGACCAACCATAGTCACCTTACATGAAGCACCACTCCAGTATGACTTAAATGACAGATCCCATACCTTTAAAAGGTGAAAAATTGACAGTATTTGAAATAAGCATAGGTTAATGCTGTACACCCTAACATCATTGTACATATTCCCCAAACTGTTGTCCATAGATTTCTATGGTGCTGACAAGGAGAATTTGTTTAACAATCAAGAGCTTCTTTAGTTGGTGATCATTTCCTTTATTCTCCTGACCTTAATGTGTGATTCAGGGGTGATATTGTACGGAGAAATTAGATGTTAGTCACTGTTGGGGGTCAAAGGGTAAACAAAGTGTAGCTGATTTTAAACATACCTTAATGGATCTATCCACAGAGCCACTGACCAATCTGTTGCCATTGAGATTTAAACATCGAACTGTCCCTGAGTGACCAGCTAGAGTCAGCACTACATCACACTCACCACTCTGAATATCCCAGACCCTTATAGTCTTATCATATGAACCACTCGCAATCCTTGTGTCATCAAACTGAACACACGAGATACCTACAAACAAAAACCAATTCATTTTCATCCTCACTGCGAATAAATTTTTCTAACCTCGTGGTTTTATAGTTTGCGCATTCAACAAATTTATCCAAAATGATTCAATATTGTCATTTTAAATTTATGTTCTCCACTGTTTACCCTCCTCAACTAGCTTAGATTGTCCTTCAAAGTCAAGTTTGAAAAATCTTTTATATCACTATGATTGTGAAATTAAATTTGCCGCCAATTATTATTAACATTAATAGTCAAGAGTTCTTTACTGAGAACCTTAATTATTACAATAAAAACTACATTCCTGTCAAAAAAAACATTCAAAATCTTCAAATTAATAATTATCATTTCTGATGGAAATCATTATCAGTAATTCATAAAAAGAAATACTGCTTTAACAGCATAAAGAAGGCAATATACACAAACCAGAAGCTTACCTTGTGTGTGGCCTTCAAATGTTCGTACATTACACTTTCCTTTTAACCAATTCTGATGTAAAAGATACCTTGATGCAAACATCTTTTTCCACTAATGACACAATCATGAATGGTAGTTTATTATCAATAAAAACTTAATTAGTTATCTCACTTAAATTAATAATTTTAATACAGAACAAAAGTGAAACTTTGGACAATCATTATAATTGTGATATACTTACTATATTTGCAGTATTTTTAACAACTGTTTCAGTTGATAGTTATACCTTCTGAATGACACCCAAACCCTGTACAATCATTGAACTTAAAAACTTATTGAAAAGGTATTTCTTGATAAATGATTGACAGTGATGTCCTATACCTGAATTGTTCCATCATCCATAGTGTATTTCTTTTTTTCTTTCTCTTCTCCAATCCTTGATAACTGCCAGCCAGGGCACCTATAGACAGGAAAACAGTTATAACATTACATTCTATCATAACCATGATTGAAAACCTAACAACGTTGGAACCTTACTGTTTAGAGTTTCTAGACTAGCACTGAAAGATGTCAAATAAATTCTTCACTCAGTCCTCTGACTTGTTCATCATTTCCCTCTTGTCAAGAAATTTAACTTTTATTTTTAACAATACTTTGGTTCCCTTGGAACTTTTTCTTCTTTATTCCCAAACGATACTCAATATTCAGTTAGTTTCAGGTTCTCCTTTAAAGATTTTTGCTTTTGTTTACTGACCCCTCTCAATGCATTTGACTCAGGAAAAGTTTCCAAGAATAATAACATATTTTTTTCCTAGACTGTGAAATAGGCCTTTCCAAAATATGAAAGATCAAAAGCAAGGACCAATATTTCTCCAACAAATGGGCACCAAGCAAGTAACTTACAACACCAAACATTTAGTGATTTAAAAACAAGGCATTTATAGAACTTACCCGCAAAGACTTTGCCACAGCAAGGGGTTACTGGCCAAGTTGTTCCATGTGTGATTGACTTGACTACAGTGACACAAACTCACTAGGAGAAAAATAATTCAAATTTACAGTATTGAAACTTCTGTGTCAGACCTACTGTACTGAAGGAATAAAAAAGCTGCGAACCAGACCAAAGTAATCACTTAGATGGGGTGCTAAACAGTCAAGCCACTGCAGTCAGCCAATATTCATTGTTTCTTTACCACAAAATGTTCATAAAAAAAACAGCAATTCAATAATTTCACTGTTGAAGTCAATTTAAGTCTCTGCAGTTGGTTGTCATCTGAATGATGGAAGTACAAGCCATGCACTGATAAATGATTTTGCTATAAAATGCCATTAGGTCTAGTGGACTCCTCGCTAAACATGAAACTAATCCCAGTTGAAACACAACATTATTAGCCCGTCCATATTTTGGCATTGGCTCATTCCCATGGTCCTCTCTGCCTAAACACCAAAATTCATGTGGTAGTATTGGAACATATATACAAAAATCTATATTGAATTTTTCTTCCCTTCTGAATGTTTAGAGTCAATCTTATTTTTCATAACTAAGGTAAGTTGTGTTTATCCTTTCAAATCACACAAAAGGAGCCAACTGTCTCATGCTTTTCTAGCTCTGTTTTATCCATTGGACTCATATAGAGGTTTTGCACAGCAGCCATGTTGGATGGCAGAAACAATAGATTATTTTACCCATGGGAAAAAAAATTTTTTCTTATGCAAAATATTTTCATTGTTCCTGCCATCCAACATGGCTGCTGTGCAAAACCTCTATTACTGGTACATATCATTTTTAGTCCATTCCAATTGTTCCTTATAGATGCTTAGATTTGTTTCACGGTAGCCCCGAGTTTCAAATCCTTGGCCATGCTTGTAATATAGCCAACTGGTTTGCCTTCAGCCAGTCCGTATTCTTAACAACGTTATTTTCAATTTGAATTATTTGTTTAAGTTGTTTCATGGAAAACCTGTAAACTAGCTTCTAGCTAAGTGTTTCTCCATGTTAAACTGTTTATTATTATTATTATTATTATTATTATTATTATTATTATTATTATTATTATTATGATGCAGAAAGCAGGAGTAACAAAACCATTGCAAAAAAAAAATTTAACAAATAAATTATGCCCAACTGCTACATGTATTTCACTGGTGGCCCTCTCTGGAATGAAGAGGGTAGAAATAATGCCAAACAATCACTGTCTTACATGTAGCTTGCCATGGTAGAATGAACATATTGGTGTTTAAATACCTATTACTTTCTAAACAAGCGGCAATTTCCTTAACATGAAAAATATCAATATAAGAATACCTTACCTAAGTCAAGAAAAGACAAAATGTGCAATGCCACATGATGTGGTAACCAAGCCAACATGTCCTGACAATTTGGAGGGCAGCTTTTATGAAGAACAGGTTCCATTGCAACAGACAGCATATGCATCTGCGGCAACTCACATTCTTCCTTTAAAAAGAAAAAACATTCCTTCTAATAACTTCCAATGGAAAAATTCCTTTTATCAGTTTCAGAACAGTCTTACCTGCTATGAACCTTTACCTGTCCTTCACGTCATCTTAAAAATATCAAATTATGTTTTGATGTTTGTTTTTTAAATTCCAATTAAATGTGGTAAAAAATATCAAACTGACGTTTTGATGTTTGTTTATGAAATTCTATTTTAAATGTGTTGGTGCAATTAAAAAAACAATAATTTGCTGTGTATGAAAGCTTAATTATACAGTGATTGGTTGCAATTGCTCCACAAAAAATCTCTTGATTTCTTACATCTTTAAAATTTTTTTTCTCAATGACGAAAGATATAGGTACTAACAGCTTATTTCAAGCCCTATAAAAATGAATATTTACTTTAAAACAGTTGAGTATGAAATGTTGAGAGGCTCCCCTGAAAACAATCATCATGATTTTATTCATTCTTACATTAATTTCATGCATAATTTTTCATGAAAAAAATAATTTTTTTTTGCCTCATACAAACTAAAAAAGATCACCAAACTAATTTCAGTATTTTAAGACTGAGGTGAATATTGCACCAACCATAATGTAAGAAGTTTTACAAAATCAATTAGTTAGAATGTTAATTGGCAGTTAATTAAGTTAATTCGAATTACCACACAATTTATCATATACAACTTAACCAGTGTTATTAGAAAGGGTAATAAACAAAATTATCCTTTACCTGCAATTATGGTAGCCGTAACTGTTAATTATCAACATTTTTTGGCCCAAAATTGCTGTTTTTTAGGGACACAGTAAAATGTACACAAGACAGAAATGTGAAGACCTGGATCTCTTCTGCCTTGCTTTAATAAGCTATCACGACATACCTGTTTTCACAACACTTCTGAGATCACTCTATTAGTAAGAAACTCACCAGAAGTTTCCGAATTAAAATATTCTTCTGTTCATCATTAAATTCACGGAACCACTGCAAAATATCCTAAAAATAGAAAAACAGATCCGAAAAAGGTCTTTAACCTTAAAATGTACTCTAACTGAAAAAAATACCTAATGGTAATACTAGAAGATTATAGATTGTAACAGAAATCAAATTCTAAACAATCTAGGGGGAAAGGTAAATGAATAAAGGGTATAAGTTTCTAAAGAAAGCGTGTTGCTGCATTGGTGGGGGATATAACAAGATAACAATAAATTTGATTAATCAACTGAGTTGATAATGTAAATTGGCCACCAAAAGAGTTTCTCATCTAACATTTGGAAGAACTTAGCCTTTCATCAGAGTGAGTGATTCACTCTAACAAACCTTGCTAACACTTGAAATATGAGCTTACTCTTTAGAGTAGCCAATTTATATCTATTTATCAACCCAGTTAATAGAACCATATTATCTTATAATGAAAAAGAGTCTATAGAAAATGCTTTCATGTCTAGAAGTGATAAGACTAAGGAAAAATATCAATTAGGGGATCATTATTAGATTCATTACCAAACTTTCCTATTAACTGACAATATTATTCCATTCTGAATCTGGAACCCTCAACCACCTTTGCAGCGGTCTGGCACTCTACTAATTATTAAATAAATCTAATTACTCAGAGTTCTCCTCTGTTCTAGGCACCCAGGTAGAAGAAATTTTCAAACTGGTTGGGCAATCCTTTTACCTGTTGATGAGAGCTGCAAAAGGGGGTAAATTTTACCAATTACCTCTTGAATAAGAGGACACTGATTTTTGACCAAGCAAGGGTACAGTCTAAAGTAGAAACTCACCAACAAAACTCCTACAACTAAGACTATTTGTGGTTATTTTCTTCTTTAGTTTATATGTCATCTACCATCAGCTTACATTAAACTTCCCCTATCACAATATAATTTGAATATATCAACAAAGTTGAAATGGTAAATTGGCCACCATTACAGTTATAAAAGCTGACGTTTCAAGCATTAGCCCTTCGTCGGAGCATTAGCCCTTTGTTAGCCCTTCGTCAAGCGTTAGCCCTTTGTCGGAGCGACGAAGGACTAACGCTCGAAACGTCAGCTTTTATAGCCGTAATGGTGGCCAATTTACCATTTCAACTTTGCTGATATATTCAAATTATTTCATTACCCCCACTGACATAGCGCCAAACAGTTTCTTTAGAAACTATCAGCCTTTATTCCCCTATCACAGTCTGTTTTGGAATTCTTTTGGTGTTTTGAGTTGGCATATTCTACAGTAGGTTCACTAACTTCTATTTATCCGGTAAAAAAAAGGGTGAAATTCAAAAGGAATTACCTCACTGCACTTCTTAAACTGTGCTCCATTAATAGTTGGCTTTCTCTGCCAAATCACTTGATTTCCTGTCCATAACGTTTGCCCATGACCATGGTGACCAAGAGAAGTCCTTATCTCAACTGTTCTAATTTCATCAACCAAAGAAAGTCTTCGAGATGGAAGGGCTGAGCATTTTTGTGCATCACAGTGGGCTGTTGTCTCTGTTCTGCTGTTACTGGATATTACATCAGATACAACTGAAGAAAGCGAATTATATTCGGTGACAGTGGAAGAAACTGAATCTTGTTCAACTGCTTTCAATCCATGGACCTTGGCATCATACTCTTGGATATCCATAGCTTTGTTACCATCAAGGCTTGTGAAAACATTTTCATGCCCATTGTATTCTTTTAGTGTATTATCACAAGCATTTTTTTCCACCCCATCAATGTCTTGGTTTGTAGAATCAACCTGTGTTGTAAACTCAGATGAAATACATGGCAGCAACAGCTTCTCCTTCTCCAAGTCCTCCTCAGAAGAATAAACAGGACTAGATGTCAAACAGCTGCTAGAGCATTCTCCCTCTAACAGAAATGCAGAAATTGTTGGGTTTTGACCTTCACTGCTTCTAACAGTAAAACTAATTAAGTTATTGGAACTGTTGGGAACTTGACTACAGCCGTGTTCATTATGGACCAAATTGCTCTCATCCACATGTTTTGCCAGCATCTCATGATTTGGATTAACAATTGTATCAGGATGTTGGGTAATTATATCTGATCCCCTTGGTAATGGAATAGATACTGCACCATCTCTTTTCAAGTCAGACTTAAACATTGAACTGTGAGGAGTTGAGCATTTAGAAAAAGAGTTGTCATATGTTACTTTCTCCTGCATCTTTGGTTGGAAATTTTTAACAGCTGCCTCTTCTTGGTAAAGAACTGGACTTTTATAAAAGTGAATTGCACCAATAGTTGAACCATTTTGATTTTTAATGTGACCACCCTGTGCTATTGGAGTTAAATGAGGGGTGCTTTTCACGTTCCTGTACTGTGGCAAAGAAGAATTTTTCAAATGTACCCTTGAAGAATCAAATCCACTGAATGATGCTCCTTTTCTTAAACTAGTGACGCGTTTTTGCTTCAAAGGAGGAGAAAGCAGATGAACGTTTGAAGAGTTTTCAAGATGTGTTCTTTTCTTTCGAGGCCAGCTGTTATAAGCTGGGCCGGAGAAGCTCACACTACGTCGAACTGGAGGAAAAGTTGGAGAAGTGATATTATCTGGAATTCTTCCTTCGTTTAGTGACAAATCGTGAAGTGGAAGAGATAAGACGCTTTTCACGTTCTCTTTGGCTTTCAGCGGTGAACGGTTCATTCCTTTAGCTATTTCATTGAGCAAGCTGTTGTTACTTGAAGTTCGATCTAAACGGGAAATGCGCCTCTCAGAGCTAAAATCATGGAAGGTCCCCGTCGCTGTTCCGCACTCCTGCACACTTACTTCTGTTTCAACAACACCTGAGCAAAGATCGTCACCAAATTGTCTCACCTTGCGTCGTTTCAGATATTTGATGCTTCGGTTCTTCCGTATTTTATGCCTGCCTGAGGACTTTTCAACTTCGAGTGCTCTTGGATCACGAACAAAGTCCGAACCACTGCTTGTGTTGCTCTTCAACAGCTCAGCAGCGCTTGCTCCAGCACCTTTGCTGTCTTTTCCTCCTTTTGCTCTTCTGGTAAACCAAACAACCTTTTCCCAAACCCGAGAGCGAGATTTCGAGGGCCTTTTTAAAGTACCGTTTACATTGGAGCTCGGGTCAGCTACGTGTACATCCTCCTGAAAGAACCTGTTTTCATTCGGTTCCATCCCTTAGATTGTTATTTATATCATGATGTTAAAAGAGTTGAAATTAAATAGCGGCTAATTCCACCCCTCATGAAAGGCTTCGTTGTCGTTTGCAAAACTAAACCGACATAGTCAAAATAAGCCTCTTCCAAAGTGCCATCTTCTCTTCATGTTTGCAAGTGTTGCTGGGTAACTATAAAACTCTCGTTTAAAAACGAACAACTCTTAAAAATATTTGCTCTGAATGAAGCTTGATACGGAGCAAAAATACGTCATGATGGCCTCAGATAGTTATTTAACAGATAGAATTTATGGATGAAAAGTTTTTGTTTGTAATTCATTAAACCCCAAATACGTGTTTAAAATGATAAAGCAAAACCCGTCCAAGGGTGACTAAGTATTTCATTTCACTCCCACCTCCCAGTCAGTGCCAAAAATAGCCGTTTGAAAGTGAGGCTATATAAAACAGTTTCGTACAGAGTGACGTACACACCCGTTCGTATTGCTCCGAACTGTCGCGAAGGAGCGTCCCAGCTTGTGTACATTGTTTTCTTTTTAAAAAATCAATCGTTGTTTCAGCCTGCTCAAGGTAAAACTTAGTCGTTTCTTACCCTCATTATTCTCTGATCACAACAGTTTTGATTTATTTGGCAGCGACGCGCGAACTGTTGCCAGTTTTCGCCTCGCAACATTCGTTGATGCCATGCTATGGCGGTGTCTCAACAATATGTTCATGTTTTAGGCACCGAATTGAAGTTTCCCTTCCAAGATGCGTGAATACAAACTGGTCGTGCTTGGTTCTGGAGGAGTTGGCAAGAGTGCTCTGGTAATGATAGCGTGAAACTCCTTTAAATCTGTCAGTGTGAAACGAGAATTGATGTGCTGTGTATTGATTTCTTACGGTAGGAATAATGAAGAAGCGGCAATATTCTTAACTGTATCACTCACTGTGATCGTCTATGAAGCTTTTTATTTTCTCTTTTTCTTCATCAGACTGTTCAGTTTGTGCAAGGAATCTTCGTCGAAAAGTATGATCCGACGATCGAAGACTCGTATCGAAAAGTAAGTATATTCGAAGTGAAAATCCTCTGTCGACTGGCGCCCGTTTTCTACCAACTTAAACTCGATATTCTCTTCTAACATTTCGTGTCAAATTTTTGTTGTTTTACATCAGCAAGTTGAAGTCGACGGGCAGCAGTGTATGCTGGAAATATTGGACACAGCAGGAACGGTGAGTTGGACCACTATTTTGAGAAAATTGGGTGGGAAAGAGCACCAATCCTACTTTGTGCTATGAATATGTAGATTTTCTTGTCAAATGAACAGCTTGCTCTTGCAAAACTCAATACAACGTTTCTATTTACCCATAGCATTTTATAAGTTATTCGAGGTAATGCAATTAGGAACAAGCTTTGGTGTTCGAAAATTTTCTTCTTATCTTACCGTCATGTAATGGTTAGGTGGTCTGGTGTCGACAAAACCATATTTTATTTATTTTGGTTTTGCTTGCAAAAATGTTAGGAAAAAAGAACTAAAAAGGTGAGAGTCTAGAATGATGTCAAAAATTTTCACACTGTCGGGCATTTTCTCTTTTGCTCAGGTTTTAATCTGCCGGTCTACACGAAGGTTTACCTGTTAAGTAATTAGGCCTAATTAACGTTGTAAATACTTTATCTGACCCTGCTATTATTTATGGCTTGAATATTCTAATTAGCTCATCTTGCGTGTTGCTTGATTAAATAATTGAGATCAATAATTTTGCAATCATGTTTGTCTGAAAAAAGAAAAACAATTGAACTTGCCATTCCATAAAATTTTCACTCTGACCAAGGTTGGGTTTGATATTGATTCTATGGAAAATATGTGAGAAAAATTCCTGCATAAGAGGCAGTGGTTTTAGCAGATGTATGTATTTGGTTATTGGGATTTTAAGACCCTGAAGATTTGTAAAAGAGTTAGTTTGATTGAGGTGTGTCACATGCAGGATGGTTCCTTACTCTCTCGTACCTAATTTCAATTAAGATTATTGTCGAGATATTTGTATACTGGCTTGTAAATGCAAAATGTATCAACTTTTCTGTCCTCTTAGTTGTTTTGGAAACAAATTGGTGTTGTTTGTTCTGTAATTGTATTTTGTAATAAAAATTGGCACATTTGACAAACCACAAAGAATACAACTGTGGTAGTTTTGAAAAATGGTTAAGTAATCTTGGACTGTCTATTGCATATTTTTGTGAAAAATTGTATTAATTATACATCATGTTTTGGCAGCAAGCAATATTTACCTGCTGGGAAGATTTCTGATTTAATTGGACTGCACTTGGTCTCTATCTTTCCCTAAATCGAGAAACAACATTTTTATACTAGAACTTAAATGTCTTTCACATTCAGATGGTCAGATTCCAATCATACCCATTGTTATCTAAATTTCCATGTTTACTTTCAAACTGGGAAGATGTCAACATCACTGAACCCTTCATAACACAGCTGTTTCACATTTCCAACCCCAAAGAAGTTCTACTGTCCAGAAGTTTTTTTTTTAAAAAAAATAAACAATCACCTTGAGTTAAAATATTTTCATCTGAGTTCTATCTAGGTTTTGAGGCATAATAAAATCTTGTGATGTATTTTGGAATACAATAATTTCTACCTTTTTGGCAACATCAAAAATCCCACAAGAATGGCATGCACTAAAACAGTTGCTACCACTGTGCTCAACCTCAACTTTCTCATTATACTTGTAATCCTTTCACTTCCAAGATCTCATTAGTTATTCTCCTTACCATCTGCCGTACAACTTTTATGATGTAATTTTGAGAATTTGGTGTTGGATCAACTGATAATCCCCTTTTACTGATAGTTGTCTTTTTTCTCTTTACTTTTCTACTTGATACTGTATTGTTATTGTTAGGAGAGATTCTGTCTTGGTCACTCATGGGAACTGAAGTTTTAAGACAACTCTGATCATGTACTGTTTCAAACAATGCTATTGATTTGATTTACAGGAACAGTTTACAGCCATGCGTGATTTGTACATGAAGAATGGTCAAGGCTTTGTTTTAGTGTACTCAATCACAGCGCAATCCACATTTAATGACCTTGGGGACTTGAGGGATCAGATTTTAAGAGTGAAGGACACAGAGGACGTGAGTGATGACTAATGTATACCATAGGGTGTGAGCAAGCCTCTTATTATCAGCACTTCAACATGACTGTTTGTTTGCTCAGTGAAAAGCCTGAGGCCTTGAATAATGCAAACAGGCAAGAGATTGTGAAGGAGGTAGCACTGATAATTAGTGCCAAACTCTCAACAAACCACACCCTGGCTTGTCTCAAATCTTCCCGTGGACTGAGAAATATGTATCCTATTTGGCTAATAATGAGGGCCTCTTGTAGGTTAGATATGTATATCCCCACACAATGTGGTGCTCTAGAATCAACTTCTCTTGAAGTCACCATTTGGTAGACTAATGTGGTGGTGAAAAAAAAAATGTTTGTGGCTTGGAGTGTTGCAATATCACTTTATTTTCCGACATATTACTTCAATCTATTTTTTAAATCACCAGTGATCCTGCAGTCTTGGCAATGCAATTGATTTAGGAATCTCACTATTTTTGCTCATAATGGCATATTTTCCCCTGCTTAAAAGAAAGCAACACTTGAAAACAAACCAACCAATTGGATTTCAAAGCTTGTTTCCGGTAACCAATCAGAGTGCTGGGAATGAATGATTTAGAAGCCAATATGGGCTAATAATCTCTATTCTGAAAAGAAAAAAAAAGGAATTTAGAAGCGGTATGGTGATAGTAAGCATATAGAGAACTAATTATGTGTTTTCATTTTTGTGTAGGTTCCGATGGTCCTTGTTGGCAACAAGTGTGATTTGGAAGATGAAAGAGTCGTTGGGAAAGATCAAGGACAAAATTTAGCAAAAGTATTTAATAACTGGTGAGTTTCTTTGTTTTAGATCCAATCTCTGAGTACTGACAATGTGCTAGTTGAGGAAGGGGTTGTCAACAGAATATGCATTTTCATAGCATGTCTGTCTATGGTTATAATGGAAACAGTGACAGAAGTTACCCTATCCCCTTATGGCAGAAGTTACCCTTACCCCCTGATGGTAGAAGTTGCCCTAACCCCGGATGGCAATAGTTACTCTATCCCCCCCCCATGGCAGAAGTAACCTTGCCCCCCTCCTTCCAAGAATGGTATACACTGCCAGTGTTGTGGCCATGTTGACCTTCCCACCCAATATATGGATTAACTTAAGTGCTTTCTTGTTATTTTTAGTGCCTTCCTTGAAACATCTGCAAAATCAAAGATCAATGTGAATGAAATATTTTATGACTTGGTCAGACAGATAAACAGAAAAACACCAGAAACCAAAAAGAAGAAGAAGAAGACGGGTTGTAAGCTCTTGTAATGATTCCATTTGAACATTTTTCAGTAGAAAAACTGGAGATCTGCTTCAGATGTTTGTGGCTGAATGGCTTACGATTCAGACAGAACATCTAAAATTGTTTGTAAATTATTTTGTGAACGCTGCTGGCTGCTGGCAGAGGATAAGAAAGGAGAGATCATGCAGTAAACTAGAGTCATCATAACAGACTTGTGGTTGTTTTACAGAAAAATTGTAGGACACCTTGGGAAATATTTTAATACGGTAAAAACATAATTTTTTATGTTGAACGTGTACAGTACTTACTGGAAAATCTTTGCTTGAGTGATGTGCATGCTAGACAGTAGACACAGTCTTAGAGAATAAGATTTAGAGAGGAATGCAAAGGAAGTTGTGTAAGTTGTAAGCTTTTTATTTACATTGTTTTGTGTGGTTTTCTGACATTGTAATATTCATGCGTTTTCGTGCAATTTATTTCTTTGATTTTTCTTGTTTTGGTGAGTATTGAAATAAACTTTTTTAAAATAATATACTTTAATAATTGCTTCTTGACAATAGACGTTGTTCTCTGCAACGTGTATATCAATAATTCTGTCATGACTTCATGAAAAATGCGAGTTCTATAGTGTATATTATTTTGATCCTGTGATCATCGCATGTGTTCTCTGAGGATTATACGAAAATGTAATTGTTACAAATCTTCAGTTGAATCCAAATTTCTCTGAACTCGTGAGAGAGAATTGATTATTCTGACAAAAGGCCTTTTTATTTGTAACATTTTAATTTGTTGTTGTCAATATCATTTTAAATTTGATCGATAAAAGCGATCATTTTCATGCAATTTCTGTTGGGGGAAATAATTTGTTAGATATGTCGCCTAAACTGGAGAGAATCAAGTGTTGTTCGCGTAAGCCCTATTTCAGCGAAAAACTATTGCAACAAAAGTCTATAAAAGCCATTTTTATTTGGATCGTTTTCATCAATTTATGCTTATAACTCAGATGATAATAAAACGTTATGTGAAAAATATGAGACCCGTGTAGCTTTTTAAAAATCACTCTGTCGTTACTTAAAGAAATCTGAGTTTTATAGAATGCAAAAAGTCGTCACTATTTTGTTCAATTTGTATTTACATCTGATACTATCGCAGTTATACATTCAGATGCTCTAACCACTTCCTAGGCGTGTCGAATCACCTTTATATTTGATCGTGTTTTTGTATAGTGTGTGTGAGATCAAAGAATAATGACTATTATAAGGCCCTTTATTCCCACTGAGAGGAAGTGTTGTCGGTCATTCTCTGACCGAGAGAATGGTTTTGTTTCTTGATCAAGCCGGCAACACAACTGGCGGTTTTATTCGGCGATTGTGGCGAATTTAATCGCCGCAATCGGAGAAAATCGCAGTCGCCGCACTGGGCACACCTGATTTTTTTGCCGATCGGCGAACATCGTCTGGTGTGTCGCCGGCTTAAGGCTTTCTCCTGCCTTCCGGAGCGACAGAAGACCCTCCCTCAACCAATGAGAGAGACTCTCAGAACAAACTTTGTATCGCTCGACGCGTGTTTTCCATATGCTTTCCTACTATTTGCCATACTTTTCGACAGATTTGACTAGGACCTTTAAAACCACGACACCCTTTTCTTCAACCAATCAGAGCGAAAGTACAAGTTTGCAAATAAGGAGAGGTAAGAGACAATCTACCTCGACCAATCAGCTTAAGGGCCGGCTGGGTTCCTTAGAGTAAAGGCTGAAAACTGAAACTCCTCCATGTTCACAAATTTTAAACATTTGAGACCCGTGGCTTTGTATCACATGATTAAGAGTCTTCATAGCTTGTCAGATATTTCACCGATATATTCAAAATGTCCATCTCCTGCGAATCAAACAACGAATAAAGAAATCTTCACAATCAAAGCTTCGTGAGACTGGATTCAGTCGAACGTGGGAGACCTGGGTAAGACATTAAGTTCTGGGCTGAGTTCACCTCACCAGGGGATGTCACGCGTGTCTCGGGAACTCACGAGACGTTTGTGAAAAAGCTTTCAAGTCGTTATCCTGCAAAATGAATCAGACGACTTGGGATGTGTCTGAGTTTCTTCAAAGTTCGTGAAGCTGTTCTAACACAATTCAAGGTTTCTAGGGACCGGCGTTACTCATTTTGTACTGAAACTTAAAACCTTTAGCCTTGTCCTTTTTGAGCGGTGATATGAATAAAGTACTCTTCGAAGTGATGAGATATTTTACACCAGATCCAGAACTGAAGGGAAAATAATGTGTAATCGTTTACTAATTTTACTTCAGATTGACAAGCATGTTTTAAAAAATAAATAAATAAACTTTAATAGCCAACACTATTACTGGTAACCCTGTAGTTTAAATTGTGGGCTGTATTAAGAAGAAGTTTTACCTAACTGCTAAAAAATCCCCACTGGCAGGAGGTGAGCAGTGGGCTATTTACTACGGTGGCCCAAAAGTGTCACGGCAATTTCAATTTGGTCACGGCAATTTCAATTTGGCCACGGCAATTTCAATTTGGCCACGGCAATTTCAACTTGGCCACGGCAAATTTCAATTTGGCCACGGCAATTTCAATTTCAATTTGGCCACGGCAATTTCAATTTCAATTTACTCACGGCAATTTCAATTTGCTCACGGCAGTTTCAATTTGCTCACGGCAGTTTCAATTTGATATGACCACGTGTCAGCGGAATTACTGAAAAATCCCAGTAGAACTTCCGCGTAAAACGCATAGCGGTTTAAAATGGCGGTAAACCTAAGAGTGACTTTAGAATCCTTGTTTTTTAAGCCGAGTATCAGGAAGTTCTCTACATGTTACAGAAACACTACAACAGTAACAATAAATTGAAACTGCCGTGAACAAACTGAAATTGCCGTGAGTAAATAAAAATTGCCGTGGCCAAATTGAAATTTGCCGTGGCCAAGTTGAAATTGCCGTGGCCAAGTTGAAATTGCCGTGACCAAGTTGAAATTGCCTTGGCCAAATTGAAATTGCCGTGGCCAAGTTGAAATTGCCGTGGCCAAATTGAAATTGCCGTGGCCAAATTGAAATTGCCGTGGCCAAATTGAAATTGCCGTGGCCAAATTGAAATTGCCGTGGCCAAGTTGAAATTGCCGTGGCCAAATTGAAATTGCCGTGGCCACGTTGATTTTGCCGTGACACCGTTTGGACCACTGTAATTTACAGAGCGCAGCCAAGGAGTTGAACTGGGGGCAACCGAGAACAAATCCAGTGAGTGGTAGGGTGGAGGACTTGAACCCAGGCCACCGGATTTCAAGTCCAGCACCCTCAAGTCCAGCACTCGACCACGCCGCCTCCTTAAATGTATGTTTCGGATGTTAGCTGCAGCATGATGCCAATATTGTTTGTAAGCATAGCAGTAATATCAATAGGCAGAGTGTTCCTGTCAGCTTAAATTGGCAGATACTTTGTTTTTAGAAATTTAGTGTTCATAGGAATCTCTGTAGTCGTAGCTAACAACTGACGTGAGATCGTCAGGTGAGAGAGAAGTGTTAAAAACTGTTACTCAGACACTTCACTCAACAGAGAAGTTACATGTCAGTAGCTACTCGTTGCCTCTCTGATGCAGTATATTGGGACAAATGACGTGATTTCTTAATTTACTTACGAGTTTTTAAAATTATCTACGCATTCAGAGGAGGACTTAACGTACTTACAGATTACAGCACGATATTTTTGGAGGGATAGCTACATTCAGATGCGAATGACTCCTTTCAGAATAATGCACATTTTGAGATTAAAATACATTTCTGGAGAGCAACTGATTTTAGGAAAGGGTGCATATTTGATTAGGAAGATGTCTGATAGACGAACGGTTTAATGTCCGAAAGAAAGAAGACGCCATCTTTGCGACAAGTTCGTCCCCAAATCTGTACTTCCATGTTCCAAGAAAATTATATGGAACTAAGCCCTTGCTTTCTAAAGGCAGATATCTGTGTCTCTCTTTCCCAAAACGCTAAGGGACTCTAGACTTTATACGCGCCTTCCCTACCCTTGTAAAATGCGATATCCTTTTGAGTGAATGCAATATCTGTTACAGTATGATTATTAAACTATTCAACTTGTGCCAATTTTCGGTCAAAACAGGAAACAAGAAAGGAAGTAGCTCTGGTTTTTGTAATAAACGTGAAAAGGTTTCAATATTTTCATTGTAATTTAATATTTTATAATATCCAACGCCCAAAGGTGGTTATACAAAATGCTCGAAACAAGTATCTTCATCGAGTGAGTAGTAATGAAAGATAGCATTGCATAATATCAGAAGATTTTTAAAATGCCGATTGAAATTGAAAAAACTTTAGTGAAGTGTTTTGATGCGCTTCCATCCTTTATTACAAACATAATAAAGCGTTTCTTTTGTGCACTGCATCCGTAAGAATTTTTTTCCAGAACACTCGCTGTTCTTCCTTTCTCCGATACAAGCTCTGTTGGTTCTCTGCAGAAGCCGGTAGCTGTAAGTGGTAATAAGTTGAAAATTTATGCGTTTTTTTCGTCAGCAGCCGGATACTGATTACTGACCATATCGTGCCCTATCAAATTTGTTGGGAATTGTGGGAGGAAAGACGACTTACAACTTAGCTAGGTCTTTTTGTGTTCTGGTCTCGAAACCTCAGCTGTTGCCTATCGATTTTTTCAATGGAAATTTACGTGTGACAATACGCTGTCTTCCTCTAATCTTGAAAGGTTATTTGACTTATTTTGGTAAACTGTAAATTTTTTCCGTGAAGCGTTTCGAACCGAGTACTCTTTTATAAAATGTTGTCATAAAGGAGTGTTCTAAGGCAAAGGAACTTCAATTTGAAGAGGAAAGTGGTTTTATTTAGAGTATAGTACGAGGAATATTTTATCTAAAGCAAAATCCAGTTAATGCAAGTCTGTCCACACTAGAAATTACAGATCATTAGCTGCTCGTTCCCTCTCTGATGCAGTATCAAGTTATTGCTGAGTTTTGGCCCGAATAGATTGAACTAAAATGGCTGGACAGATTTTGGAAAGTGCATCAAATTCAGGGAAAGTATTTTTTTTAAGAAAACTTTTTGTTCTCAGTTTCAATTTATGACTTTTATTGTTTAGGACATTCATTTTGCTTTATATGTTTCTTGCGGGATTCAGTTGTATGCATGTGGTCACCCCCCTTCTATGCCAGTTTCTCCACATACATGTCTGTTTGCTGTTTACAGCTAAGAACATTGTTTCGTTGCGCCCAGCAGACATTAAGACATATGCCCTAAGACAAGATAACTAGGAAACTTTCAACACGAAATAGATGAACAGCAGCTGAGAAAATTCTACAAATGCTCCCAAATGTTCTACCAAAGTTCTATTTTTCTTGTAATCAAATGCAAGCCATAGCATGATTTTCAGAAAATCCACGAGTCAAAATACAGTTTCAGAAAAATATGAGATCATTCAGTTTGTTGGGTTACTCTTACTTCCAACCATAGTTAATCGCAGTTTATTCTGTAGTTGGCGTAAAATCACCATAAACTACTTCTTGTGGTTTCAAAGTGTACACTTTTCACCAGCTTAACGCCCTCAAATATTTTGGTTGCTATCTAAGTACACACTCTCCTGTCACCTCTGTTTTGTGCACGAACTTATGAATTACACAGCTCAATGACTTTTTCTCAACTAGAATTTCGCCAAGGGCGAGCGGTAAATTACCACCGCTGTGGGGGGTGAATCTCCGATGTCAGACCTTGCTGTGAAGAAATGGTTTAAGTGCATCGAAAACAGCTTGTAAATATACATAATCACTAGCAACCAATGTTGTTTAAGCTAGGACTTTCAGCAGGAAAAGCTCCCTGTAAATTTTCAAACACGGGTTGATTGCAATAACTCACTGCCTCACAAATGATCGGCAATTGAACACGAAAGATGATCATTGTCATAAGCTATGATTGCTCGCTCTTGAAAAAAAATATAAAGGGAAATGGTATTTTTAATCAAAGAGTTCATCATCATCAGGATGAAAAAATGGCATGGAACTGTCGTACATAACATGCGAGGCCTAAACTCGTTTCGCTATATTTATTGCACCCGTCTACACTTAATTTTTGACTTGCATGATATTTAGATTACAGGACATAACTTTAGTTCTTATGTACCGTAACGGTTGTTTGATGGGAAGACTTTCGATCACTTCCAGAACCAAACTATTACATCTGAGAGCTGAATCGAGATTTTGGCTACCTAAACTCCACCCAAGATAAGAAATAACTTTTTTTCGGATTTCGAATTGCAAATTGACAAAGGAAATGAATTTAAAATGTTTTCTATTTATAGCCCTCTCAAAGAAAATATTTTTCATAACAGGAGCTAAATATTCAACCAAAATAACACCGAAAAAAACTAATAAAATTGGCTCAGGACCACTATTTTTAAGTTGATATTTGGTCATAATCAGTTTACGTTGGTCATGAAATCTATGAAAACTCTCATTATATGTAAATAAAAAATGCTTGGAAACTTTATCAATTACATATGCATAGGCACCAAAATTCCTATTTTGCTCGTATTTTAGAGATCAAAAGTTACATTTCAGAACGCGAAAATTACAATTCTAAGAATCACATTAACTCAGTTCATAAAAATTGCAAAAATTAAAGGTGTCAATATTCAGTTGTTTATTTGACAACTTTCGACAAATATCTTGTCAAAATTTAAGAACAGAGCAGATGGCGTTGCAAACTTCATAGCAGTATTACTTTTTTTGTTCCTAGATACAAAACAAAAATCAGCTGGCCTGACACATAATATATTAAGTGCCAACGAAAGAAAACTCCTCGCAGAGCGTATTTCATTTTGTACTTAAAGTCGAACAGCATACGACGTGCGTATAATTCGTCGCCAGATTACAATCATGTTTCATTCTATCTAGCGACTTCAGGTTAGTATAAATTGCTTTCACTGTGACTTTTTTTAAAACCCATTACTTTTAAAATCGCAAACAGAGCCGTCATCAGACATTTTTAAATGATAAAATGTAGTCTGCTGTTCGTTGCAAAATTACGCGGCGTCAAAATACTTTCTCTTTGAGTTTTAAAATCGAGAAACTCGAATAAATTGAAAGACTATTTGTGAACTGTACATAATAACAAATTGTTGGTTTTTCATGAAGTGGATCAAGTATACAGCGAGTGCAGAAAACGTCTGTTTTTTTTTTTCTTATCTGTCGATGGTACGAAGGGAAATACGTCATACCGTAAAATTATCCCTTTTGATTTTTCGCAAGCAGAGTGGCTTAGTCTGAAAGTCGGAATGTTCCTTGATCAATGTCTCTACAATATGCGTTATTTTTTTCTGATATCGAAACAAAATAAAATGACAAGGGATAACGTTCTCTCTTTAAACCAAAACTCATGAAAGAAAAAAAACAGACAAAAAAGATCTTTTCGATAATTTAGGCCTTTCCGGATAGAAGAAGGTGTTGTTGGGAAAGATGATTATAACATCATAAAACCTAATGAACACTGGATGAAACTTAGCCTTTTTTGAAAAAAAAATTCCGTGCACAGCAAACCTATTGCACTGTTTTCTAGAGTAATTCATCATTTCTTCCCTCTCCGGAAATCGAAGTTCCATTCAATAATCTCTCCGTAAACTGTGTTTTGTTTAAATTGGATGTCCACAAGCCTCCTGAGTTATTTGAGATCCCTTTCAAAGCAAATAAATGGCGTCTAGGGTTTATTTGCACGACATGAACGCAAACAGAAAAATTCTATTGCACAAAGTTGAATTCTGAAACTTTGCAAATGTAATTATTAATTCAGATTTTCTTGAAACGAAAAGCATGTTTTTACCACAGTACAACGCCGAGCAGAGAAAAATAGTGACGCGCATGCGCGGACGGTATTCAGCTTTGAGTAAAATGAGCAAACAAATAAAATTATGAGACATAGCTAAAGAAAGTGTTAGCTGAACAGCTCTTCACGCACCGGTTTCATTTTCTAAAGCATATAGGGCACGTTCAAGGTAACACTGGGGCTCAAGCTGTGCTTTTGATTGAATTTTTCAGAGTGTTTGAGAACAACGTAATCAACCTCACCTGCAGATTATGATGGATGTTAGCGTATGACGTAAAAAGCGACAAAATACGGAGGTGAAAACGTGCGAGATAAAGAACATCTAAGAAGGAAAAAAAAAATACGAAACATCAAGATAGTGGTTGAAGTTGAAAATATGAGTATTGTAGCAGTGGTTTTGCTGTCCATTCTAGATGTGATCGCTACTCTAACCAACACAGCTATTCTATGTCTTGTATTGCCAAGAACATGTATGCGAACTGTCAGTAACCTGTTTCTTGTAGGTCTGTCATTGACACAGTTTTTGATGACGGTCTTGGTTATACCATTCTCGATTGTCACTTTCTCGCAACAGTCATGGAAGTTTGGTGAAGGATTTTGCCAATTTCAGGGATTTTTTACCATTTTTCTTTCCATTTCCTCTGCCACATTTATTTCTGTTATAGCAGTGGACAGATATTTTTCACTGGCTAACCCGATGAGCCATACGGCCAGAGTTACATCGACACATGTCCTATTTACTTCGATATTCAACTGGTTTCGCGCTACGTTCTGGGCAGCTTTTCCCCTCTATGGGATCGATGGACTTAACTACAAATTCGTTCCTTCGATTAATGGTTGCAGAATCCGTTTGGATCTTAAAGGTTCGTATTATATTTACTATTATTTTATCGCCATGGAGAGTTTCCTTCTCCCGTCCCTCACAATGTGTATAATGTATTTCAAGAGCTTTCAAACCGCGCGAAATAGCGCCCGTCAAGTTCGACCAGGGAATATCCAAATCCAAGTTTTACAGAATGGCGAGTTCACCTCTGTAACACGAACAAACAACAGTTTTCAACGTCTGAAAGCGAATTTCACCTTGGCGCTCATCATTGGGTCATTCTTGCTGACAAGAGGTCCGTTGGCGATTTTTAACATCGTTACCAACTTGACTAGTGAAGGATATTTTTCCCCATTTACGGAAACGACTGTGTATTTTATGGTATTTTTAGGTCCTTTACTAGATTCCCTTGTATATGTCTTGCTCAACCGAAAGCTGCGAAAAGAGGCTTTTCTTATTCTGCGTAAGTGTTTCATAAAAAGATCAGATGAAGAAGAACCCAAAGACATTGTTGATTATTTGAGAACGCTTACTGATAATTATGTTTCTACAAGAAATTCATCCACAGAAACTGAGGAACCGTGAAAGATTGATGAAAATGGAATCGGGAAATCCATTTGGTTTCAGTGAACCTGCCATCTCCTGTAAATCTGAAGATTAGCATTAAGCAAAAAACAGCGATAGGAAATCACTAATGCCATTAAAACAAGGGCGAGAAAGAAATTTATATCCTTGGATTACAAACTTTTTTGTTACCTATTTTTTAAAATGTGCTTCAACAAACTACTATAAAATTTATCACATCCCATTCTTATGTTAATATTCCTTCTCGATTTTCTGTTTCAAAAATGTTAAATCTATCTTAATGGAAAAAGATTAAAAGCTTGCCTATTGGTATATGCGGGAAAGCCTCTATATCTCATGCATAATTGTAAAATAGGAAATGTGATAATCCTCGGCTATTATCGAGAAACTGTGTTTATAAATGCGAGAATTACTTCTGGATTCCGTAATGGAATAAAAAATTAACTTGAAATAGACTTTTTTCCAATCAGTGAAAATGTCTTAGCGATTTATAAATAGTCCATAAATTACTTTCTGAAAATTTCCTGAGTACGAATAGTTAGACTGTCATTTTAACGATCAGTTCTTGAATAATATCGCTTAAATCTTACGCTCGTCCTTCATGCGCACATTAATTCATAATTCCGGCTTCTATTTTTCAAACCGGACTCAAACAGCTGGGAATTAATTCTATTTTTTGATGAAATCAATAGCGAATAAATTTACCGACTCTATATGTAAAGCATAGCAATCATCAGTGAAATATTAATTATAAGAGAAAATCAATTTGATTTTTACGTGCTTTTTTGTGTGTACAAATTAATTTGAAGTTTGATTGTATCAGGTCGGTGACAAGTGCAAATCCTGTGAGCGATTTCTTATTCTGCGATCTAGTAAAAGACAAGTATTTACCCTTGTCGCATCTGATGACACGTTCTTGGCATAGAAATTTCAATTTTGTGCAAATGGATCAACTTGTAGTCTATATCTCAGTGGCGATTTCCTGTGAAATATCAGAAAATTCATTTTACTGTCAAAATTCCAAATAAGTTTTCAATTTTTTTTTTTGGAACCTAATGTTCTAAGACAGCATCTTCTTTCAATCTGAATTTGACTGATGTAGAGAATTGAATAAAATATGCACAAAATTCTTGCAAACATAATATGAATCGTCTTTGTTCTCAAGAATTGCGACTATAAATTGCGGTTATTTGAAATCAAAGAAGAAAAAAATCAACAACTGAGAAAAAAATCAACAACTGAATGTTCAGTGCCCACTGTCTTTCTGTTTTGAAACAAACAATTGCTGTATCATTGCGAATTAAATTTCTTGCTTGGTTACAATGCGAAACGAGAAAAATTGACTGAAAAATATGGTTCACAGCTGCTAAACAAAGATCGATATGCACCGCATTGAATAAAATAAATTTGCCATTAGAAATGAAGCATCGAGGTGAATTATCCAGTAACATGGCGAACAGAGTGAGCTTGCATTCAAAGTTGATGGATCGAGTGTTTCAGGTTAAGGTTGTAGCGACCTTGTGTTCAAATGCATATTATTTGAATGAAGCAACCTGCCCTAGAAAGGATATAGACACAAAGTTATTCTTCTTTTTTAATTTACCATAACCCTGTATCTTCCCCAGAGGAAAAAAAAAACTGTTTGAAAAATTAAGAGTTTTTTGTAGTCTTTTTAAAAGAGATTTCATGCGATATGTTAAGCATATCGCTAGCAGTGTCTTAAAACCTGACTCAGCATAAAAAGAAGAAAAAATAAAAAAACCAAAATGTCAGAAAGCGGCCAATCAGCGTTGAGTTTGAATGCTAGTAGCTCTCTTCCAACCAATAAGGATTCCGGAAACAATTGAGGGCATGATTTTGTTCTGTTTTTGTTTAGTCTTGTTTTTCAAGTATCGTGTAATCCTGAAATAAAAACGAGAATACAGCTGCAGACCTTTCACCTTCGTGATATGTTGTATTACATTAGACAAATCATAGCTTTCGAATCGAATAATTGCTTTCATATACTCAGATCTTTTCGTGACGTTAAGCATAAAGACGAAAATATGAAGGAAAAAAGAATGTTAAAAGGAAAAAAATTTCCAGAGCAGGTAACTTGAATTAAATTAGATGGATCTATTTAGTTTTTTGCCGCCTTTGATCTTCTGATCATAAAGTTTTACTAATGCAAGTCCTTTTTTATCTTTTATGAGTATTTATTTACTTTCATGAGTGAGCCTTTTAAACACGACGAAAAAGCAGAGTGAAATGGAGAACTTGTTGTTAATTTCTTTTGTCAGGAAATTGTTGTTGAAAGCGATCCCTCACTCCTGTGGCAATCAGATAACACGAATGCTTTAAAAATAACTTCTATTCACTTGTTTCTTTGTATATTTGCGACCTTGGCTTTTCAAATTTACATCTTGCTGTCACCTTGATTCTATTTTAGGGACCTAACGAAAACCCTGACGTTAAAAGCATAAATCCTTAAAAATAGCATCCAATGAACAGAACAAAGGCTTAACACGTGCATAGCAAAATTGTGATGGGAATTGCAATTACCAGTGTGTGAAAAGTGGACATCGACGACTACATATTCATATCCAGTTTTGGAATTAATCCATAGCTATTCACAGGCAGCGACAGAAATTTCAAACAGTGACACATTATTAGGTAAATGAATCTAAAAAGAATTGCAAGATTTTTGAATTCCTTTTTCAGTCATCGTCATTTTCGATGCTGCGTTCGTAATTGTGTTTGGTTCTTTATAATATGCTGTGAAAATGAACACTGAATGTATTGTGCCGGTCATAATTATAGGCCCAATGTGTACAATGTGTTCAATTTTCCAGGAGCAAAGTCAAAACAAAGGTACGACTCGTACGCGTGGACAAGCACTGATAAAGCAGCGCGATAGAACTGATTCTCGCTTCCTTGAGAATACTTGATCAGCTCCGTCGCCATTCGTTTACGGCTCGGACCCTACTCCGGGCCAAGACTTGCCCTCCCCCGGGCCAAGACACGCCCTCCCCCGGGCCAAGACTTGCCCTCCCCGGCCCAAGGCTCGCCCTCCCCCGGGCCAGGTTCGCCTCCCCCTAATGTCAGCCTTCCGGCAGACGATAAAAAGACACTAGCTTCAATGCTCGTTAACTTCGTAAGCTTTGAAAGTTCCTGTTATAAAATTGCTTCAGTGAAACCCTTCCATCGAAAAAGCACATTTAGAGGTGTTCTCTCGCAGTAATCAGAACGATTGTAGAACTCATTCCAAGTAAAAGAATACGCTTTTATTTCAAATATCGCACAACTCCCAGTTAAAATAATGTACAACTATATATAAATCGAAAGGTTTGGCTAAACTTTCAACTTTTTGTAGCAAATCTATAGTATGATACTTAAAACAAGTCGTTCGTCATGTATTAAACACTGAAGCGGCGTAAATAATATTGTATTCTCAACATGTTCATGAGTTTTTTTTTTCCCTACGTACAATTTGGGGAAAAAGGCAAACAACTGTATGCCCTAACGTAAATTTGTCGTTTACACAATGTGAGCAGAGGTCTTTCGCTGCACTAGAGTTACTTATATCGTAGTTAAATAATAAAAAAATAACTAACCCTTTGATCATTGTTAAATAAATCGCATCAATAACATTTGCATTAAATGAATTTTTCAAAACCTTTCTCGATACCTTTATTTGAAAAGAGCAGATTATTACTTTAGCAAATCACATTTGGTAGTTGTGATAATAAGACTGATTTTGAAAACGACATCCTTCCTATTGATTTCCCATCTAACCCGTTAGTTTAGTATTGACTTATCTGCTAGTGGGGACTAGGTTAGGGGCATTTGACAAGTTTGGCGTATTGAGGGCTCAGTTCTGCGGAAAATTAAGGTCAGACCCAGTTTTTAAAAGAGCAAGTAACACTCTCCATTGGATAAATCGCTAACCAGCCGATAAGTGTCAGCGAAACCTACTGCGCTATCCAACGGATTGAGATTTCTCCAATGGATAGAGAGGTAACCACACTTCAAATAGCCAGACCAGTGCCAAAAATCCAAGGTTAATTATTGAGTCACTAATAATGTTGATGATGTTATTAATAATAATAATAATAATAATAATTATTATAATAAATTTAAAGCGAAAAATAATTTTGAAAATGTAGTTCATGCTCTTTCTCTCTACAATTTGGTTACAACCTCCAAGTAGTCGATCGATTCCTGAAGCGCACCAGTGCCGAGTCTATCCCATAGCCAAGAAAGTCACGTGTCTACCAAGTGAGCCTCGATTGTCACGTGCCTTTTCACTTTCACGTATAGCACGATTTAAAGTTCTGTGTACGCTACAATACTGCCAAAAGATAACCCCTATTTCTAGTTTCAATTAGGACTACCTCATGTCATGCATCGAAAAAAGAAATTCAGTCAATGCGATTTCTCACCGAACTGTTCTCCCCACCTCTTCTTTTGTCAAGTTTCTCAGTTTCTTCCAGCGGGATAAACTGTTGCGTGGTTCTTTCAATTTCAGAGGCCTGCTAGGACAAGGCACTGCATTTTTCTGCCGTAGATCTTTCTGAATGTTGTTTCAAAGTGCTTATATTTTTGTGGTACCACGGAAAGGGTGGTTACGGAGAGACTGCATCTGTCTCTTGTGAAGCTGAATTTGCGAGCTCATCCGAAGCTCCTGAGACGTCTACTACCAAGGGTCGGGTGGGAGATAAGGACACACCCGTTGTCTCTTGCTGGCTTGACAAATCAAGTTGATCAGACCCCAAAGATACCTCTACTATAATTGGCGGAGAAGACGATTGTAATTCGGTCTGTTCCTGACTAGGAGTGTTTACAACGGCCTTTTTCACTTTCATATTCTTTTGAGTAGCATCTGCGTTTTTTGACGGCGTGCTGTCATCCGCATTGGACTCAGACGAGTTAACGTCAATGTCTAAAGCTTCGGAGTTTGCTTTGCATTGAGCGGTGGAAGACTGGGAACGATGCTCCTTTGGGGACTGGGAATCGTGAGTGTTAGACACGTGGGAACTTTGAGCGCTTAATTCCTGGGCCCCTTGAGAAGTTCCTTGATTTAATAACACGTTAATGAACGCAGGGGAAACACTGGGAAATGCATGTTGCGCCATCCTGACCAAATCCACGTTTGATTGTGATTGGTGAGCCTGTGCCCGAAGGTGTACCATCGTCTCTTGCTCGGGATGCGTAGGCGAAGGCAGTTCGTCCAAGTCGATCATGACAACATCTTCTTTACACGCACTGGCTTCTTGGTTCCTGAGCTGGTTACCTTGTGATTGAGTGGGCGAGGCTGTTAATTGAACGCCATGATGTGGTGAAGTAGCAAATTGCGATGATGGTACAGGAACACCAGCACGTATGAAGGAAGCCAGCGGGAGATGAAAGCCTAACGAAGGGGGGAGCTGAGGGGGATGATGATGATGATGATGCGTGCAGTTAGGACCGGTAGTCTGAGGTAGCGCAGGAACTGATCCAACAGGATGAACTGGTTTTGGAACGTAGGGTTGGTTATTCCTGAAAAAGATTTGTTTTCTAAGGCTAGCATTAAAACAGCATAATCTTCCTTTTCACAGCCCCTTGACCTAGTCCTAATCATCGTCGTTATTACAGCTACCGTTATTACAGCTACATTTGCGCAAAATCTGGAATAAGCCTGTCTTCCATACCTGTTATAAACCGGTTGAATAACACCAGGATAATGCTTTTGTCCCTGCATAGCTAGTCTCTTCTCAATTTCGTACCCTGCGAAAAAAAAAAAAAAAAACAGCTTTCGTCGATTCTGCGGCATGAACTCTTAGACAAATTTTTGATTTTTTAAATTTTCAATCAAAACAAAGCGTTGTTTTGCTTCCCTGCCACTGTGCTATATTTTCTTGGCTTTCTGAGAAAGCAAGTAAACATTTCGTCAAAAAATATCTTCTTTTCTCTACATAGGCCGAATGAGAAAACCAACTAGAGTCAATGAGCATATCCCTTTACGGCTCATAGGTAAATTCTTCCTTGCGCTCACGTCAGGTTACATCGTATTTCTGCATTGGAAGCAATTAAACATTTTCTACTATTTGGTACAGACACCATGTTTATCCGCGCGAGGCACAAACTGCAAGTTGTCCCACACTCACGGAAAGATACACATTTCCATTTGAATTTTCTCCTACACTTGCACTGCCAAAGGTTGCATATCTCGTGAATTGACAGAGTTTAAAAGTTTACCCCCCCCCGCAAAAAAAAAGGTTTCGTATTTCCGCAAGAAGAGAGGTTAGATATTTTACCACGCTTAGTAAAGTGTTGAAGGGGGGGAGGGGTAGGGTTGGAAGATTTTCGTTGCGTCACGATAAAAGTTAAGTGATCGCCCTATTAGGCTTTGTGATCTTCTTATGACGCACCCCACCTCTTACTGACAATTAACTGGCAGTCAGTCCCCCCTTTATACTCTATGGCGACGATCGACCCCCCCCCCTCCCTCCGTTCCTCCCAAAAACCATGTGATCTCCCCTAAATTCCTCCCCCCAGCCTCCTATGCAGTAGATAAAGACTAGTCTTCACTCCCCTTACTTTAGTTCTGGATCATAAATAAAACAGAGAACAAAAATTTAAAAACCTCTTTTGGCTTCCCGCTTCTCTGCCTTGGTCAACTTCATTTCCTTTCTATCCACAAGAAGCGAGTCGTGCTTAAAAGGCACCTGCAAACCAACCAAGACGAGTGAAATATACTTCTACAAGAACTCGACAAAGTCAAAATAGTCCGATTTTAGACGCTTGTGTCAGATTTGGAACACTATTGTGGAGGAATTCTTTTAGCTCTTAGAATTTCAAAAACTCCAAGCCATCTTAGGCAGTAATGAGAGGTTGTGTTGGAGGTAAATGTGACCGCTGCTGGCCTGTTAACGTATACAATAGCTGCGTAGAAGGGGGAAGAGGAAACGACAGAATATCACTCGACTGACCTTGGAGATCCAAGAATTGCACTGTCGACACATTCTTACCAACACGGGATCACTAAACTGGTCAGCGGCTGCTGATAAGTCAGCCGCTGGAGAAGCAGCATCCTTTAAATACAAAAAGACAATCAACCAATCAGTAGCGAGTTCCAGATTTCCCCAATTAGTCGCGCGGTCAATTGGTTTCGGATCAAAGTGAGAGAGTGTCGTGCGGGGGTGGAGTGAGGTGGGATAGGTGTTTTTTTCCCCCCATTTTTGAGGGGTTACCCCGAGAGTGAAATGAAAAGAGGAACATAGCGAACTGAAACTCAAAAAGCGAAGCTTGTGTTCAAACTCTTTACGTCTAGAATACATTCTTAAAGCTACAGCTTACCCTTTCACAAATCAACTTCATTATTTCTTGTTTTGTGAAATTTGCTTCCGGATTGAGTTCGTCGACAATTCGATCTGAAAAGCAGAACAAAAATCTTTAGTGATTTGATCCTAGTTCAATTTGCAACGCTCCCTTAGTAAGAAGCAGCTATGATTTGATGTAACAGTTCTTTAATTCTGACTAAAAAACCTGTGAGCCTCCTCTCCTACATCTTCAATGGTACATCAGAGAACCCAGTCTTCGCACAGTAGAGAGTAGGAGGTTACCAGTGTTTTTGTCATGTCTTTTTTCTGTGTTATTGCATATTGGGATAGAACACGGAGAAATTGGCTGATAAAGTTACCCCAAGGTAGAATGAGTTTTTATGCCACTTCAAAGGATAAAAAGTGGCTCTCAAGTTACAAAGCTTTAATATCGCAGGACCAGTCAAGGATAAAACGTGGCGCCTTCAAGAACACTTCTGTTGCCATCAGTGTAAATTACTTACTTGCCATGCCTTGCTTCGATATTTGTCGATCATAAATCTTCTTTTCCATCGTTCCCGTACTGATCAGACGGTAAATATGAACCGGCTTCAGCTGTCCATAGCGATAAACCCTGTAAAAAGATAATACAAAATTTGGGTTTAACTGATAATCACGAGGCCACTTTAATTTGTCCCGCTCGCAACACGAGGTTTGCAGCTAAGTTGGTAGAGGCACCTGAGCGATCTCTGAGAGGTTCAAGTTGTAGCCAAGTGAAAGCATGTACCCTTTAACCATGCCTCACTTTTTGCAGCTGCATTCATTACAGTTTAGACCGCATCTTGATAGATCGATTGTCGTCAAACCAAAACCCAAATGATCAAATCAGCCAATCAGAATACAGGACTACGTCACAAGAAACCAATGAGGAAGCCAATGAGATCTCAGAGTAAAAACAAGCAAACGGTTTGAAGCGCGGGAAAACACGGGTGACCAGGTCGTGATTAGTATTAGTCTTGAATTTGATTGGTTCAGAAGATGGCACGAGTTTTCTGGACCAATCAGTAAGCAAAGTGAAACAAAGCCAAGGTAATCGAAAAGTACTTCCCACACTCAATTGTGAATTGCTTTGACTGCGAAGATCAGTTTTCACAGACGATCCGTTTCAAATATTACAAATGAAAGGATGGTTATCGGCTGGGGAACTATAAGATGGTCTTTTCGTACCTACACACAGCTTGCACATCATGACATGGATTCCAGGAAGCATCAAACACAACCACACGGCTTGCACCAACAAGATTGATACCAAGACATCCCGCTCTGGTAAAAGGACAGGAGGAAATAAGAAAACTGCGGTGTAAGTGCCGTTCGTTGAGGCTGAATTTAAAAATTATAGTTTTAACCGAAAAAATGGGATTAGCTTTCGCTTTTAAACTTTTATTGAAAAGTGGTAATCTATCCTACCAGACTTGCAGCTAGTTTCCAGGTTTACTCAAAACCATCAAAATACTAAAGTTTTTTTAAATTTTCATGTCGTCAATGGACACTGTCTAAAGAAGGCCTCTAGAGAAAATTTTTTTCCTCTTGTGGCTCCGTGTGTCATGAAAGTTAAGGAAATGTAAACTCTTCTAAGTAAGAACAGTGATTTGATTGTCAACAAGACGTTGAAAATTATTAATAATATCGCTTCATATGATGCACGATCCTCGCAGTAGAGAGCGCTATTTATGCAATAGCGAAAATAAATAATAAATAATAAATAATAAATAATATCGCTTCATATGATGCACGATCCTCGCAGTAGAGAGCGCTATTTATGCAATAGCGAAAATAAATAATAAATAATATCGCTTCATATGATGCACGATCCTCGCAGTAGAGAGTGCTATTTATGCAATAGCGAAAATCAGACCTGAAAAAAAGAGGTCAGTGGTTCGAATCCCGTACAGGCCTGATTTTTTTCAGGTCTGATTTTCGCTTTTGCATAAATAGCACTCTCTACTGCGAGGATCGTGCATCATACGTATTTAATACCGCAGTTCAAAATATATGAACTTCATATATACATTGTACCCAAATATCGCTTCAGTAAATCCAAAATCTGTGGGAACAGAATGCACGTTGATGATTGGTTGATTTTGACAAATAGCACGAGTCTTTTGAAGCCGTCAAGAGTGAAGAAAACGCTTACTCTCGATTACTTTGACCCTTGACTGAGAATTAATCTCGTATAGAACTATCACAGACCTTGTTGACAACATAAACAGCAAGACATCAGTGTTATCTGGAGCATTAAAACGATTGATCAGCCTCTCTCTCTCTTGTGCTGAGGTGTTGCCATCCAGTCCTACCAAATACAAACACATCATTGTCACCATTAACCTTCTGTTCATGCGCACGCGTATTAACCCACGGATAAAGGAAAAAAAGGGCGAGGTACCGAGGCTAAAATAGAAGGAAATGTCATCCAGCTCCATAGCGCAGCTGGTAGTGGCGCCTAACTAATATCTGGTAATCTATGGTCCCATGAACTAGGATTTTTTACTTTTCACTACAAAACAAATAGAAAAAACAAATCGTAAATTGAAGCTCCCCCTTAGGGGCTTTTCAGCCACAATGTAGGCTAACTAAGTGCTCAAAAATCCCCACTGGCAGGAGGCAGACCAGTGAGCTATGTACAGAGCGCAGCCGAGGAGTTGAACTCGGGGCAACCGAGAATGAATCCAGTGAGTGGCAGGGTGGAGAACTTGAACCACGGACGCTGGATTTCAAGTCCAGCGCCCTAACCACTCGGCCACGCCGCCTCCAATAGAAGTGCAGAACACATTAAAAAACCACAAAACATACCCATGGCTACTGTAGTTTAAAATGGCAATTAACGTAAAGGAACTTACGATAATAACTCTTGTTCTTAGCCCATCTGGCAGACTTTCCAGGATCAGCGACCCGACCAGGAAAAAAAGGCACATCACGCTTGGAAAGGAATTCCTCAATCACACTCAAGGTGGACAAGCTTTGACTGGAAGACAATAGAAATGAAAATAAAATGTTGACATAGATGAAAAAAAATCCCTTTCATTATTCCTCAACATTGAACTTCTTGTAAAAACACACTGCTGGGGATGAAAAGAATGAAAAGTCACCTAATCCTAGGACCCCTAGAATCCAATTTCTCCATACCATATTGAATATCATCCTTTAATTGCATAAGAAGGCCACAAGAATAAAGGAAATGATCATCAACTAGTAAGGCTCTTGATTGTTAAACATATTCTCCTTATCAACATCTTAGGGAATCTATGGAGATCAGTATGGAGAATATGCATACTGATGTTAGGGTGTGAAAGGCCAACACTGCTCTGATAAATAATGGTAATTCAGCTGAGTGGAGTGCAGTTTGGGCTGAAATCATACGCGTGATTTCAAAATCGAACGAGCGTGCAGCGCGAGCTTGATTTGAAATCACAAGTATGATTTCAGACCAAAATTGCACGACATGAGGTTCAATTACCACTTTGTTACATCCATTTTGAAATCGCCCAAATACAGGACTTGGTCAATTCAAATATTTTACTGATGCAGTACTGAGCCGGTTTTTCAACGAAAAGCGGAACCGGAAACGTTTTAACATCTTATTTTGTATGTAAAACAAAGACTTTGACGTCATGTGTCAAAAACTCAGTCAAGTGTAAAATGATGCGATTTAGAGCAAAAATGGTGCGATTTGGGAAGAAATCGCACCAATTAGAGCCAATCAGATTACAGGGACCACCAGTGATTTCAAAATGGATGCAATAAATGACTGATATGTAACTGCCTGCAATATATTTTCAACACATCAACCAAAGTGATGACAAGGAACATCTGATTCTTGTATCTTTCCCAGTTTAACAAGTGCTCTCTACCTCAGTCACCCGTGGAGTTTTAAAAAAAATTAATAAAATCTTTCTTTACTCAACAAATGAGTCCAAAATTTACCATTCTTTGCTATGCACTTAATAAAACACTGAAGAATAGCAGTGCTCTTATGGAAAAGCTAACTATTTGTTCTTTTTAATTATCAGCTAGCAATGAACCTTACCTAAATATAAGGATTTTTTCTCCCAGTTTTAAGCTTTCCTCTATAATCTCCATCAACACAACAAGTTTGCCACCATTCTTCATCACTCCAACCTGGTAGTCCTTGAACAGAGTCTTGGCCTAAACATCAATGACAATCCCAAGATTGAACTGTAAATTCTCATACAGACCTCACTAAATTTGTATGAATTAAGTAATGTATCATGCCTACACAGATATTCTCCCCAATAGTCCATCATGTTTATAATTCCTATATCAGCCTGCGCAGGTCATTTTGATATCAACAGACACACAAACATTTTCTTTGGTTGGTTAACAAGACAAAAATTTCCCCTCAACCATTTCATTTCCAAGATCTCATAAGTAATTCTCCTTCTTCTCTGTCAGACATTTCTTATGAAGTTAGTTTGGAGAATTTGGTATTCAATCAACTAATATTCCCTTCAGTTCATTTAATCAATTCCTATAAGTAAGTCAACTCACCCATGTCATATCTCCAACGAGAACACAACTGCGATCAATCTGTGCAGCTACTGTTTGAATAACTGACACAGAAGTGTCCTGCGCACTGTGGCTTGATTGAGTTGTCATAGTTACTGCCTGTCCTGATTGCGAGTTAGGTTGAGAAGAAACAGAGACAGGAATAGTATTAACTGTCTGGGAAGTTGCTGATGATGGAAAATAAGGAGATACAGTTGATCCTGAAGAATAATTTTGTAAGACTCCAGTGTTACTTGAATTTGCACTTGTTTCTTGGTTCAGTGTAGATGTGGTAGCAGGCATTAAGTTTGAAGGAGAATATCTCTTTGAACTCTGTGATGATCCATTTGAGTCTTCAAGAATTGTCTGAGAGAAAAAAATTATTTCAATGTGTAAGTAAACAAAATTTATAATAAATCCTAGCTTACCCTAAAAATTTGGTCAGTCAGTAACTTTTAGTATGGACCTGAAACTCAGTTAGTAAGAGGTATTTATTCTATTCATACCAAAGGAGACTCAGTCCTGCCAGCATCCTTCATATCCAATGAGTGGTAAAATATATCAGGATGGTTCCAAATCTACCAAAATACAACCAAAGAAATTTGTATTACAAAATACATGTAGGTCATCTTATTAATATGATAAGTAGGATCTGGAGGAAAAAAAAAAATCCAAATTTTACATTTTACATTTTTAAGTTCAGAAAGCAACCATGTGGACAATCAGTGGATAATCTTTGGTTCTCACCACATTTTGACGTGGTCTGTCATCTATCACTAAACAGACGTATGGGGACATGGAGTCTCCTTGATAAATATGAATACCTACAACTGCAGTTGAATCTCTCCACAACAGCCACCTTGAGGACAGAAGAAAGTAGCTGTTGTGGAGAAGTAGGGGTTGAAGAGAGGTTTAAATAAATGTATGGAAAACCCACCAGGACCAAAAAAGTGACTGTTGTGGAGAAGTGTGGTTGAAGAGAGGTTTAAATAAATGTATGGAAAACCTGCCAGGACCAAAAAAGTGACTGTTGTGGAGAGGTGACCATTGTAGAGAGGTGGCTGGAGGTTTGACTGTATATACTTTAGATTGAGTATCTTTGTACCTTGGTGCATGTGTGGAAACCTTTGATTGGGTTGATGTATCCAACAGAACGTAACAGACGGTCAACAAATGTGTTGTACAATTCTTTTTGGATAGCTGACATATTAACCAAAATTATGTGCTCTTCTTTGACAGGGAGGCATCTTGTAAGAACTGCTTGACTCCGCCTAAACAAAAGTAACAGAAAGAATTGTATAAATAATTATGCTTATCTTAAATAATCACTTCACTCTGCCTAAACAAAAATAACAGCATATTAAATGCCCAGATCTTCGAAAATGATGCCTCCTAAGCTTGGGCAAAACCAGTTAAATCAATGACCTCTCTCCAAACTGATGAAAAGAAGGCACCTGGAACTGCGTGTACTTTTAGTATTGCTTTACACTACTGATATATTTCCTTATTTTGGTCTTGGGTTTGCTGCTAATTAACTTCTGAAAGTAAGTAAATTGAAAGAAGGTTGAAAGGAAATATTTTTCCCACAAACACAATTTTATTGGAACAATCTTACCTTTGCACAAATCCTTCTAACAGACTGTGAAGTACATGGGCCCTGTACCTCATAATCTTAACATCCTAGATAAGAAAAAAAAGGCATGTTAGAACCTGTACCTCTGTAGACTTTAAGGTCATACTCCACATAACTGTCATGCATTGCAACATTTTAATCAAAAGCAGAAACACTGTCTTCATGGTGGTTTTGTATATAAATCTGTTTTTACCATTCACGGAAAGTGAATACTGCATCTCATTAGAACATGCCTTTTGAATAAAGCAATAATATGCAGAGTACATTACATACAGATTGATAAAAAGTTGACAAGGTTTGTATTCTTTCAATCTGGTTGAGCAAATGGGCACTTACCCCACCTCTAACCCAACCAAAATCAATTGATAACAAGTTAGGGTTAACATGATGATGATGATGCAGGGGTGGATCCAGGAAGTTTTGATTGGGGGGGGTCCAAACTCTGGTTCAGAAAGGACTGTTAGACTCTTGAGGCAAATTACTTCTTCCCAACACCCCCACACCCCTCCCACCAGTCGTGGTTGCACGTTATAATTCCTTGGCCGCTGACCGTTTGCTTGGATTCATTAATTAAAAAAATCAGCCAGTTAAAAAGTGATATACGATCCTGTCGATGTAAGAATTTCAGTCTCAAAGTTGTAAGCGTCAGGCCTGATAGCGGGGTCTGGACCCCTGGACCCTCCCCCTGGATCCGCCAGTGTGATGATGAAACTTTATTTGTGTCTGTTAGAGATCTAGCTCCTGACTAGCAAGGTGCTAATTGGTGACACAGTATAGTTATACAATAAACATTATCTTAAAATGTACTAATCAATACACTAATTATATGGTAACTTAAGCTATAATAAAACATTATACAATAAAAATTATCTTAAAATGTACTAATTAATACACTAATTATACAGTAACATAAGCTATAATAAAACATATTCGAATTAAAGTGTCAAAGATGAGTTCAAACGTTACAAAGCATATCTTGTAACGTACTAATTAATACACCAATTATACAGTACGTGGCTTAAGCTTTAATAAAACATATTCAAATAAAAGTGTCAACTGCTGCAAAGAATACATGTGCATTGCTCGTTAATTAGATTATTTAGATCTATTCATCTAATCTTATTCTCAAAAACTTCGAATGTGTCTGATCTTCTAATGGGTTAGGGGAGGGTTAGGGGAGGGTTAGGGGAGGGTTAGGCACACAGTTAATCAGATACCATCATTGTTCCTTCAAGCAAACAAAATTTGTTGCTTTCCACGGCCAAACATTAAAAAGTTTATTCATGATAATGTGATGATGAACCCTGTGTTTACTACTTACAGATGGAGTGCTGTCAGAACATTGCCCATTCAGTATAGGTCTCTCAAACATGTTACAAAACTCCTGTTTGGTTCCCAGAAAGTTGGGTCTTACAAAGTCTACCATGCACCAGTATTCCTGAAGGTTGTTTTGTAGCGGATAGCCTGTTAAAACAACACGGCGCCTAACAAAAAAAGATTAATCTTAAATAAAATCAGGAACAATCATGGATTAGAAAGGTGTGTTTAATCTCTAGTAAAATTTGTAATTATTGTAAAAATTACTTGAGGGGTGCCTAAAGACAGTGGCAAATATTAGTTGCAAAGATGAACAAAGCAGTAAGGTTTGTAAAAGCTCAACATCTTGGTAATTGCCTTGATACAAATTAGAATAACAGGAAATTATCACAAACAGCTCTTGATTCTCCTTGTCAGGACATTGCAAATTGAATAAAGGACAGTATAGAGAAAATGCATACTGATGTTAATACCTGGTATAGAGAATAATGTGGAGGCGTGGTGGCCTCATGGTTAGTGCGCTCGACTCCGGATCGAGTGGTCCGGGTTCGAGCTCCGGCTGGGACATTGTGTTGTGTTCTTAGGCAAGACACTTTACTCTCACAGTGCCTCTCTTCACCCAGGTGTATAAATGGGTACCGGCAATTTAATGCTGGGGGTAACCATGCGATGGACTGGCATCCCATCTAGGGGGGAGTAGAAATACTCCTAGGCGCTTCATGCTACAGAAACTGGAGTAAAGCACCGGCCTAATGGGCCACTAGGCTCGTAAACAGATTTTACCTTTTTAATAGAGAATATGCATACTGATGTTAATACCTGGTATGGATCTTCTTTAGTGCCTGTGAAGTATTTGCCTGCTCGTTCTTGATTCTGTGGCCTTCATCACAAATGACCAAGTCAGCACCAGGTTTACACAATGCTCTCTGTACACCTGTGAATTAACAAGCAAAATGTTGATTGTATAACACCCTGTTTCCTAATGTCTTTAGAAGCTCAGTAAAGAATGCATAAATACAATTGTGTCAAGAGATTTCTTCACTCTTCTTCATATGCCACAATGTTGATATTTTGAAAACCAAAAAGAAACCTGCATAATAGCAGTTAAAAAGAACTCACCAATTAGTAGTTCCATGTGTTTTTCCTCTTCATCAAGATCAATAACTTCTGGTTCACCATTCATTTTGTCAAGAGTTGGTGATTTCTTTTTTTTGGTTTGCATACTCTTTGCACTTGACATGGAGGGCGTCACAGTTGACAGAAGTCGATACAACTCATATCCCATCAGAAGTACTCCACCATGATGGTTCCACTCACCTTAATATTTGAAGCACAAAGAAACATTCCACTTATTAACCCTTTATGTCCTAATAACAGATGAGTATGCATACTCTCCACAATTTCCTAGGATGCTAACAAGGAGAATTTGTTTAACAGTCTAGTGCTTGATCATTTGGTGATCATTTCCTTTATTCTCCTGACCTTAATGTGTGATTCAGGGGTGATATTGTAAGGAGAAATTAGATGCTGGTCACCCTTAGAGGCCAAAGGGTTGATGGCCTGCACAAAAAAAGGAACTCGTACTGTCAGTGAAACAAATTGTTCACTGAGTGACTTTTAACTTAAATGAGTGACCAAGGCCTTCCTGGCCTTCTGATAGAGTGTGATATTAAAAAAAACGTGTAAATTGTGTGATTTTTGTCAGCAAATTGTGTGATAAAAATCGGTGATCATGCAATTTTTCATGCAAATTGTGTGATTTTTTTCTCAGGCCTTTCCGAAGGTAAATCCTGTTGAAATGACATGTAAATAAGGGATTTTTTGAGATAAAGTGGTAATTTATAATGGTAATTGAACTGAGTGGAGTGCAATTTGGGCTGAAATCATACGTGTGATTTCAAAATCGAACGAGCGCTGCGCGCTTTCCGTTTCCGGTAGCGTGCTTTCCATTTCCAGTTGCACTTATTATAAATTTAAAAACCGGCTCACTACTGCATCAGTAAAATATTTGAATTGACCAAGTCCTGTATTTGGGTGATTTCAAAATGGATGTAATAAAGTGGTAATTGAACCTTGTGTCGTGCAATTTTTCGATTTGAAATCACAAGTATGAAATTTGAGGTTGATTGTGTGAAATTGCACTAGTTATCGCATTCTATCAGAAGCCATGTTTTTTTTAATATCAAACAGACAAGTGATGAGATTAAAGAAAAATACAAACTGGAGAATTATTTGCTGATCCAGTACCAAATTCTCCAAGCTAACATCATAAGAATTGCAAGCCAGCCAGTGAAGAGAATCACTAATGAGATCTTGGAAGTAAATGGGTTAAAAACATCAGGTTTAGAAATGCACATTTGCAAATTATCATTTGAACTCTGAGGATTTTTGGTAAAATCTAATAATCTCAAACAGTTGGCTTTGTGAATATGGTAGGCCAATTGTTTCAAAATCATGACACGAGATATGTGCGGTTTTTCCCCACGTATACTTGCAATCATTCCTGCTACACGATATATGTGCTTTTTTTGCCATGTATACTTGTGTTTTATTCCGAAGTGTATGACCATTTTCTTACAAACACACATATATATATGCGCACAAAAAAAAGCCCATATAATTTATATGCCTTACAAACAACGTGTGTATATGGGGTTATAGTAGGTAGTCATATAAAAAGCATTGAATTATACCGTTAGCAATAAACCTACTTCATGTACAGTAGCTGCAATGAAAAGTGCAGCAAGATTTTTTGTTGAACAATTTAAATACACTATGAGCCTTAAAAAACCGTCAATCCCCCCCATGGATCACAAACCTCCAATGGATGAGGCAATGCAGTCCATCAATGTGCCAAAGAGAATTGGGTCCTCTGACACAATAGACACGCCTTCCGATGGTGTTAAACCATCTCAAAGACTGACCAACAGGATCAATTCGAACCAAACTTGATCTAACACGCTGATGTTGGACAAAAACATTTGTGTCCCAGCATCATGCTACTTCCCGAATTTGGAAAGCCTCTCCTTATCTCTCTAATTAATTAATCTAACTCCACATCTGAAATGGTTGTTGTAGAATGATTAGAGAATGACTCAAGATTCTGAACTCTATGCCAAAGAGTGTTTCTAGAAACCATTAACATTCCCGTTATTTGAGGCCACGTAAATCACATTGTATTGCAGAGATACTGCAACTGAGGTAAAGAAATTTCATATTGAGGTCAGCTGGCTCCTCCACTTCCAGGACAAACTGTTGGGAATCCTCGGATAGGGTAAATAGACGTGCACAATGTAGCTACAATTGCTAGCAACTCTCACCTGCCTAATAAGGTCCGTAGCTGTAATACCAGGCTTTCAAGAACCTGAATTCTCTCAGTATTTCCTGCTTCACCTCAATCCAAGGAATCGAGCAATCAAAGAACTGAATCGATTGTAACCTGGAGTCGTACAATTAACTTTTCTGCCATGTTTTGGTCAGCATTTGGAAAGTAACATTCACAGTCTCTCAACAGACAGTCCACGGATTCCAACAAATCTGTTGTTGGGGAACTAACAACCACCACTACCGCGAAGGCAATGAGTAAGAACCAACCCTTGATTGAAATTAAGACGACCGTGGCGGCCATGCCTGGCCATGGCAAACTGAAGTTACTTTTCGGCTCTATCGTACATGAAGTAGGTTTATTGCTAATGGTACAATTCGATGCCTTTTATAATAATTATGGCTTACTATAACCCCATATACAAATGTTTGTTCATAAGGCATATATATGAGCTTTTTTGTGCGCATATATCTGCGTGTTTGAAAGCAAATAGTCATATAATTGGGAATGAAACACAAGTATATGTGGCAAAAAAACCCATATATCGTGTCATGATTTTGAAACAAATGGCCAACCATATGTGAATAGCTTCAAATATAAGAGGTTTCATTAACAATAATTATCAAGCTTCTTTTATCAATTCAGGGATGCCTGCATCCTGTATTCTTGAAAAAAAAAAAACCTGAATTTTAAGAGATTAAAACCTAACATCCTCAAGATACCACTTGAGATGTTCTGCTGCTCAGCTTCAGAATAACAATAGTAACAATAGTAACAATAGTAACAAGTAAGAAACCTGCTTATTTGAGGTTCACATACCTATAACCTTGGCCCTGGCCATTGTAGTCTTGTGATTGTCCCCCAACAAGTACACCTCAAACTCTCTATAATGAACTGCACTAGAATCAGAAGTCTCCACAAAAGTTCCATTGCTATCTGAAATAAGTCCAGGTTTAGGTGGCAACCACATGTTAAACTCTGCTTGCCAGTTTTGTATGGTGTTAATTGGCACAACACAGAGCACTTTCTTGGCTTTGGTATATCTCAAGAATATGTCAATAAAACTAACTACTTGAAGAGTTTTACCAAGACCCATTGAATGAGCTAAAATGCAACCAAAACCTGTGCTCACTTCAAAGCGTTTTAGTGTCTCGACAAGGTTGTCATAAAGGAACCTGATTCCCCCAATCTGCGAGCAAGAAAGATAAAATAAAAAACCAATTATTAACCATTTACATCCTCGCATTAGTATGCATATTCTCCCTTACTAACCTCCCGGTTAGCTCAACTGCCTCTCGGTTAGCTCAACTACCTCTCGGTTAGCTCAACTGCCTCTCGGTTAGCTCAATTGGTTAGAACGCTGGATTGTGTTGTGTGAGAGGTCAAGGGTTCGAGCCCCGGCCAGACCAATGCTCGTGGTCTTAAAATAAGTGAGGAGAATTTGCTACCTTTCTAACAAGAAATGGATAGATATCCTAGTCTTCTCGGATAGGGACGAATAAACCGTAGGCCCCTTATCCTGCAGGGGTAGGGGTAGGAGACGCTAGTTTCCCATGTACAAGATTACTGTGTGGTGGATGTCCTCCCCTGGGTGGGATGGGTGGGTGTTGCTCGGCAGTAAAAAGCCCCTATGGGGAGTGGTCAATTAACCTTTGTATGTATGTATATACGTAAAGCTTAATCTTTAATCCTTATATAAGGTCCCAGACCGGACCAACACTCAGGGTCTTAAAATAAGTGAGGAGAATGTGCTACCTTTTGATTATATCAAGAAATGGATAGACATTATAGTCTTCTTGGATAAGGACGAAAAACTGTAGGCCCTGTCTGCTGCATCTTCTCTTTACTGGTTAGCAGGGGACGTTAAAGAAACCACACACTTATCACAAAGAGTAGGGAACATAGCTCCCGCTGTTGTGGTCTGGCCTGTTTACCGACACTGGGGGCATCTTTTAAATTAGTCTTCACAAAAAAATTGTAAATGGCTGCAAGCAGTCTGTTGAGTCCCCCGCAAAACATTTTAATGTGCATTTGATCATATATTAATGTTAATCTGTGCAATATAAATATTAAATTATTATTATTATACTATTACATATCAGTTAGTGATTATTTCCTTTATTCTTATGATCTTAATGAAGGATTCAGCAATATTACTGTAAAGAGAAATTATATATTATATTGAGATTACTTGAAATTATATCGAGGGCCTCACTGAAAACCAGTATTGTGAGCTGGGCTCACTCTTTAAATATTTTTTATAAATATAAATAAATAAATATATCAGGTAGGTTAGCTCATCTGCTCATATACAGACCTCGCCTTTTTACCTTGAAAACCAAAGAGGTTTGCTTAATTCAAGACTCAGCAGTAAAACTTGTTTGAGGGTAAATACAATACAAAACTCAATGCTTTGACTCCTAGAAGTGATATACATGTAACCTTTCCTTGCAATTCTACCGAGTTTCCTTGTAAATAGGTTTTGAGAAAAAAGAAGCTTGTCATTTAGATGACTATATTCCATAAAGGACCTAATTCTCATATCTAATTTACAATGAAAAGTATGGAGGTAAGTAGGGAGAATTACTAATCAAATCTTGAGTGGGTTAAGCATTGCCACATTTTGCAAGCTTTATTAGGCATACAAGCTGGAGACCCTACCTGATGTGCTTTAATAACTCTGGCAATCTGTGGGGCAAGAAAAATGTCTTCTTCATTGGCAGGATGACTGACATTAACAAGCACTCGTCCTTGAAGATCAGGTTTGTTGAGATTGTCCTCTACATGCAACCCACTGTTTTCATAGTCAACATCCTCCCGTTTACAAGTAGTGACATCACCTTTGTCATCATCATCATTGTTATCACTGCCATCATCAACCTCTGAGTCTGAACTAATAATCTCAATAAGGTCTCCATTAACATTCTCTGCTGCTTGCTTTAAATGACAACAGCTAACAGCTGAAGTGGAAGATCTGGAATCTTCTTCCTCATCACTATCAATAACAATCACATGTGGTTCAAACTCTTTCTTCTCTCTGACGTCAACAGCTACTGGGGTGGAGGGCCTCGACGAACCACTTGGTGATCCAGAGATTAGATTTTCACCAATTTTAGAACATGGAAGTGTACTTGTGGAAGCTGCTGCTAAGCTTCTTTGAAGCTCAAGTCTCCGCAACCGTTCACGTTCCTCTTTTTGGGCCGAAATTGTAACCTCTGTCAGTTCATCTTCACGCAAAATTCGCCGAATCCGCTTTCGTTTGCTTGGATCTATTTGCTTTCTTTTTCTTTTGGTTTTCACTTCTTCGTTATTTTTTGTGGAATTCACTGTCTCTTCAGCATCCAACTCTTCTTCGTCTCCTTCGAGATCGTCTTCGAAACCAAGTAAACTATCGTCTTCACTGTCGTTGCCACCAGTTGACAATCTACCTGAGACAGAGCCGTTGTCTTCGGCATCACTATGCACCTGAACTTCTGCCTCATTACCCTCCATTAGAATTTGACACAAGTTTAGGATGGTGGATGACAGATTTGGCTGTAAGATGTGTCCGTAAATCGAAGAAGAACAAACATCAACGTAGCAAGAACTTAAACACACGCTTAAACTTCACTTGAATTTTCTTGTACAAGTCGCTCAATTAGGATTTGTGAGCATTAGAACCGGAGAAGCACAAATCTCAAAAGACATCTCTAAACATCCCTAATTAACCAAGCGAAGATTCTTTCAAGGAAGCTACCTTGTCTTACTTACAAGGTTTATAAATATGATAAAAGTGAAATATCCCTTTTCTCTTCTCGTCCGCGAGAAATCCGCCATGTTTGTATGAACACAATGAGAATTGGCAGCCAGGCCTCGCTAACAGCCTGCAGGATTTCTTAAGGGCCGGGTGGGTGTCGGTCGTAATGACCATACACCCCTAGCAAATTCAATTTCCGATTCTGTGGTCTCGTAAAGTTCAGTCGAACGTCTAATTGCGGATGAGGACAGACCTGGAGAGAAAAACATCTTTGAAATGGGAGAAAGAAGTTGAAAGGGAAAGAGAATGGAATGATGGGAGGCAAGTTCTGGTTGCAAAAAATATTGCATGTTATATTCTGCAGATTTTGCAAATGCTTTGTAACATGATAAGTCTGTTAATGTCCTCGATCTTTCATTTAATCAGCTGCTTGGTCCTTTTTCCCTTATGCATTAGGTTTTGCACATTTGGAACTGAAAACTTCTAATTCCTTGCCAGAGGAGAATTCATTTTGAGATATCCAGCCAAAATATCCACAACAGGGCTCAGCTAGGTAAAGCCTGCTTACAAGCAAAGTGGCCCCCCTGGGCTGGCACTTAACTCCAGCTTCCATGGCATGAAGTGACTAGGAGTATTTCTACTCCCCCCTGGATGGAATGCAAGTCCATCGCAAGGTTACTCCCTGCATTAAATTCGCTGATACCCATTCAATTATCCTGGGGAAAGAAAGGTACTATAAGAGTAAAGTGCCTTACCCAAGAACACAACACATTGTCCCTGGCCAGGGGCTCAAACCCAGACCACTTGATCTGGAGGCGAGTGCACTAACCATGAGGCCACAGCGCCTCCACATTCATGGTATACTCATCTTCAAAAGATAACATGCGATAGGGCTTATATGAATCAACTATGGATTACTTGAACTTATTAAAATCAAAAGATCCACAGCAATGCTTCTCACCATAAATTTATTTTCAACACAAACTAATGCAAACTGATATGGAAATTGCTTAAGATGCTACTCAATAAATTACCAGCACCAAGAAAATTAACCATGTTACACATGTTATCAGTTTATTTGATCCCCTAATAAAAACAATACTTTCCACTTTCATGAAAATCCTCCTCTCCTGGTTCTCATTTAAAATAAACCTTAATTAACACCTTTATTATAAATAGACATTTAGTATATTTAGGTAATTTAAACTTTCCAGACAAACTACAGTAAATAAGAGGTGTGTGAAACAAGACCCTTGGTAACTTTGCAGTTGATTTCAGGATTGCAGGGCATAACTTTAAATACTAAATTTGAAGCAGAGGTTAGCATTTTGTGTTATCATTTTACCAGAGAACCAAATAAATAGTTTTCTAGCAAAGATTATGACTGAAACTAGACGGAGGTGCGGAAAATGCAGAGAGTCAATTTTGATCTTGATCAGTTAAAAAATTATCTCAAGACCATGGGGCTTTTTTTACACACACATTTACTTGGCTAGTGCTGATTCAATCCATTACAACAGTCATGAATGAAATCCTCCATTACAGCTCACACTGAAACGTTTTCTACTACAACAGTTTGTCCACAGAGTTGTCAAAAGAAACTGGCCACTGGCAAAAAACACCTTGGCCATTCTCAAAGCTGGTGGCTCCCTGAGCCCTTGCCCATAAAAGGGTCTTTAACATCTACTGCTGCCCTGTTTGGTACATACTCCAGTTACTCAAAATCTATTTGACGGCCCTGAGAACAAATGCAGCTTAATTATCTTTTCAAAATTGAATCAGTTCAAGCATTTACTGTAATGCTGTTTACTAATTAAAGTCTCTCCTTATTATGGTCTTCTTGCCCAAACAAAGCAATACTTGTTACATTGAAACACTTGAAACTTTTCACTTCTACATGAAGGAGGGAAGACTAGTATGGGGTCTTGAATAACAGTTATATGATATACCTTGTATTCGAATTAGAAATCTTCCATGAGAAACTGTAATACAAAAGAGCTGTGACCAAAGATCAGAACTGATCTTTGTGAAAAGCATCCCATGCTAACAATTCATTTTACATAATAATATAGCATTATGTAAGAACTGTAACATTATTGATAACTAACAGAAATATAAGATAACACTAAGTATAAGCATAATAAGTAAGTCAATTATCATATTAATGATAAAAAATAAATGAATTTCAATTCACGTACATAGCATACTGTCCTGTGGTGTAAGAGTTTTGCTGCTAATAATACTATGGTATTGTTGATTCAGTCGATGAAAAATCAAGATACAAGGGCATTGACAAAAACACTGAAGATATCCTTGCCAGCAAGAATACTTTCTTTTAGCCCAGCTGTTAGCACTTTTGCCACACTTTTGTATCATGACTACCACAATTAAGACATGCTACTTTTAGCCCAAGGCCATACCTCTCATCAGTAATATATATAACTTGGCACAGCCAAGTAAACTCAGGATACTATGAAAGTAATCACTTCTACATATAGTGGACCCTTCATAACTTGAATGCTGTTCACCTGAATCTTCCTCTGATTTTAACATAGGGGCTTTTCCCTTGAAGCACATTTTGCAGTCAATTCAACTCTAAAAACTCTTTTGTACTGTGAACTATTTTAAATTTCCATCTGCAGTTCATATGCTTGTCAAGCAATGACTGTAAATGTCCAATTTTTGTATGCAAATTTTCCATAAGGTCTTTCATTTGCAAGATGGGCAAAGCACAAAGAAAAGTTACTTTATTTACACATAGTTATGAGTAAAGGCACACGATTACTTAAAAACTGCATTCCAATTTTCTTATTCCAGCTCTCCAAAGAAACAGTTTTCATTCTTATTCTCTAAGCAAAAATCACACTAGAATCACACCATAACAAACCCACAAATGAAAAACACTCTGTACAAGTAACACTGTTTTGTAAATAAATGAGATTTTAACTGGTGAAGACTGCATTTAGTGGCAGATCATTCATTCTTAATGCTACCCAAATGTTACAAGTCAGAGAAATTTCCTGAGTTAAGCTTAGATATAAAAATATTGCTGTTTTAATATCAACAGTCAATTGACACTGAAAAAGCAAGTACATTAGCTGACAAAACAAATTTCAGCCCCATAATAAAAACAAAACATTTAAGACTAAACAAAACATTTAAGAGTACATATTGAAGAAATTTATGAAGCTTAGCCAAAATGCTTCTCTTCAAGGACAATCTGCCTGAATTAAACCCTGCTTTAAGTATGTTTTTATCTGTAAATTTCAATTAATGTAAGTTACCTTATCAATAAATATTTTTTTACCGCTGCTGATTTAAATAAATATATGTTTTACATCAACACTGATTGTAATAAGGATAGCAGAAACTTAATTAAAGGAGAGAAAAAGTGACATTAATTTAATATATATTAACTTAACATTATTCTGGAGGAGAGCAAAATTTATGAGAATCATTTAAATTTAGTCTTAAAAGGAATCACTGATCCATGTTGTTCTATATATTTATGTGCAATTTATTATTTTAATCAGCTGGCATCAATTTGCTTTAATTATTTCCATAACAATAATCTTCTTTTCAGTAAAATCTAGCTTACAGTCATAAGTTCCTGGCTTAAAAAAAAAACAGCAGATTAGGAACACAATTTAAATCATTTACAACTCTGTGAGCTTGAAATTCTGATTAAAACAAAAAGGCCAATATGGGAGTGAAATAAGGAAAACTTGACATTATGTAAAAAGTCTGCCTATCTTTGTGAGATGGGAAAAGGCACTGAACCTGAAAAAAGTGAAAAAACATCTCCTTGATATAACATATAAAATTGGCTGAGGTGAACAGAAACCCTACTTTAGAATTTTCATTAAATTCCACTCAACTAGATATAATTTTTGTATTCTAATGAATTAAGGAGTGGCCATAAATACAATCTCAGTCACAGAACCTGAAGAAATTCTTCCTTGTAAAATAAATATCATGCTAATTCTCACAAAATATGCCTTCAGAATTCCTACTGGCAATCATTCTTGCTCAACAGACCAGATCAACAATTTTTAACTTTTTGAGGCTATGACTATCTCATGGTCATTGATGCAGTTAGTTATTCAAAAAACATTGTAAGTGACTAATGAGCATGACAGATGGTGTTCAATCATAGTTATGCTGCTATATATAACAGCTGTTTCACCCAACCACCACCCCTTTTCTTTAAAGTAAATCCTACACTGCAGAAAGGAAAAAAAAAATGACCGTGTTCTCTTAAATAACAACACTGACATATGTAAATTTTCTCAAATGTAAATTTTCATCGTCACTTACTCAGGTGTAAATTCAAAACATTCTATTTGTTTCTTCACTGTGTAGTTACCATCACACAACTAATCAAGAAATGGAATCAGTGAGGGCATTGAGCAGCCACTCACCAGTTTGTTTACTACACATGTTGATATCTTAAACATTTCTTAGGAAAATAAGGAAAGTAATTCTGCTTTGTGCATGGTTTGAACCAGTTAAATTTCCATTTCTCAAAAAGCTAGCTAACAACTGTCAATCTAAATGGGTCAATATTGTTAAATATATAATATGAAAGAAATCAAATTTGATACTTGCAAGAGTGGGAACACATTTCTGACTAAGTGAAATAAAAATTTTTAAGTCACTCAGAAAATTTGCTTCAAATTGTTAAAAAAATCTTTCTGTTGGCTAGCTCAACTGGCCAAAAATTATGTTTCTACAGAAATTTAAATGAAGGAAAGAATAGTGTGACATCACAAATCAAAAGAATTCTGATTACTGTAAATAAAAAGAGAAAGTGTCAAAATTATTTTTAGTCCTGATGGAATCATGCATAGACTGTAGATAGGACTTGATAACAGGTACATCTTGACACATTTTTCATGTAAATAGTAACACATCCCTTAAAATTTAAGTTACAATGAAACCTAGCTGATACATTCCCCATGAAACTGTGTCACATGTAAAATGAAGGTTGATATTCTAGATCACGATTGAAGACTCTTTCACAAGACACCTAGATTTGTTTCATGCTAGAATATAAAACCACTCACTTTGATTTCACCTTGAATAATTTCAAGCGATCATACACATTTAGATTTTTATGGCATACCAGCTGAGTACAAGTTGAATTGCCTTGACGAGCTATTATAGTTGACCATGCCAGGAAAATATTCCAGATTCGCACGACTCTGCCATACTTTTCTGTCATGACAGCTTGGGTTTGGGGCTTCATCCAGTTATCGTACCAGTGATTGATTGTCAGGGAGTAGTGAACCCCAATGGTTTCTGAAGAATGGACCTCAAAGCCAGCCTGCTCTAGTTGAGTGACAACCCAACCCAATGGACAACTTGCATCTGCACCTGGGAAGATATATTTTGCCATGAACAGACCCCAGATGAAATCTTCCCACTGCCAGGTTCGACGGAGCCCAGCAATTTGAAGAAAGAAGATGCCATCATCCTCCAGCATGTCACGGACCTGGGCAAGGAAGGATTGAAATTTCCTCACACCAACATGCTCTGCCATTTCCAGACATGTGATTTTGTTGAACTGCACGTTTGGTATATCACGGTAGTCTAGGCAGAGGAATTTACTGCGGGTACCAAGCTTCTTCTCTTCTGCTACACCCTCAGCCCACTCCACCTGACGATTGGCTATAGTAACGCCAGTTGAGTAGGTTCCGTGATTTTCTGCTGCATAATTGACCAGGGTACCCCACCCACAGCCGATGTCTAAATGCCGCTCGCCTTCTTTCAACTGACACTTCTCGCACACACTTTTCAGCTTGTTCACCTGCATATCTTCGAGATTTTCCGTTTCATCTCTACATATTCCTGATGTGTAAATCATCATGGGACCAAGAAATCCGCGATAAAAGTCATTGCCTCGGTCGTAGTGATCACAAACTTGTTCGGCGTCTTGATTTCTTGAGTGAAAAATCACTTCAGGAATAAAATTACAGAGCAAGAACTTAATATGTTCAAATGTCAGTTCGTAGGTACAGAATTGGTGACGGTTTTCTAAAGCTTCTAGCACATCACATTTGAAGTCTAGCTTGCCATCAGCGTAGGCCTCGTAAAGGACTATCATTGGTATTTTTCGATTGGCGTATTTTGAAGCGAGAATCTGGTCTGTGAATTCAATGAACCGTTTGACATTCGTTGATTTCGTACCGCTTTCCGCGACACACATTCGGTTGAATACCACCATAAAGACACCAAATACTGGCAGAAACAGGACGGCACAGGTTATTGGATAGCACCAATAAGGCAAACCCAAACTATACTGCACCAGGGCCGGGGTGACAAAGAGAAGGCCAAACAATGCTTTGTACGAAATTTTGTGCCACGCCAGTTGATCAATTCCATTTAGCTTTTTCCCCGTCGCAAAGCCATTTGCCTTCGGTCCACCGTTTCGAATCCTCTCCATTTTCGTTAAAGTAAAATATTTTCTTAACCGGCTGGTAAAAAAAACTAGCCAACTTATACCCGGCGAAATTTCTAGCAGATTATGAAGCGGTCTTTCATTGCCGATAACATTTACTGAACTTCACCCAGCTGCGCCTGCCTGCAAAATTTATCAACAGTACACGTGTCGTAAGCGATCACGTGATCATGTTGAGACATCACTGGGAAAACCCAAGGAATTGTAAAGCAATCCGTCCACTATATAAATCTACTCTTTTGAATTCTCAGCTAATTCTATCAGTCTGGCATTGTTGGTCTCAAGTCCGCTTTGATCACGAGCACCCCATGACATTTTCCTAGCCGAAAAATGAGTCCGGCTTAAAAACAATAGATTTATTTAGAACAAAGGCGGTTGAAGCGTCCCTTTGATGGCTTGAGAAATGTCACAAAATTGACTTAAAGTGACGAAATCACGTTTGATTTATTTGTTTTATCTTTATGTTGTTTAAGTTTTCTATTTAATGTTAAGAAAGTTATACTAAACAAATAGTGAATAACATTAACCCTGCAAAGCTGTGATACGCGTTCACGTGGAACGCACGGGCATGTTACACACGCAGTGAACTTAAATGGTTTTCTTTTATCGATTTTTTTTCTTAAATTTTCGATTGAGTTTTTAACTTTTCCTGAGATCAAAAACATGATCAAGAATTCCTGTGAGTCCAGTCAACCCTGCTGACTATGGTTTCCAGAATATTCAAATGCGACCAAAGTCGCAGTCCCCAAGGTGGAAAACCATTCACATGACCATCAGCTGTCTTCTGTAAAAAAACTTTTCAAAAAGGCTGCCCCATGCAAATTTTGGTAATAGAGCTGAAATTTACACGAATAAGATTTTCCAAATCATTACGCTTCATAAATTTTCCTGCTATTTCTTGGCTACTTAAGTTCACGTGGTGCAAATTACAGGACAGTAAAAAGGCTGGTTTGCGTCGGTAGTTTTCCCCCGGTTATTTCCGTCGGAAGAAAAAAAGAAGCCGTTTGGGTGCGAAGTCGTGAAACTAACCTCTTTTGTTCTCAAACAAAGTGGGAGTTTGTTTAACTCGGAAATGGCCCATGTAATCACAACCAAGCTGACAAATCAAAGCTTAAAAAAATTTGTATGACCGAGGACAAGGTCCGTCTTTGCGGAGAGGGGGCGGACCTACAAGCCGTCCACTGGGTTTAAATGGATGTGCCATAAAATATAATAGCAACTTGATCCAATATTTGTAAAGCATCAAAGTCGCCAAGCAAACCTGATTTGGTATCATGTAGAATTAAGACCTGGACTGAACTCTAAAGCTGATTTGCAAAACACCTTCATTAACCCTATGGCCCCAGGAGTGACTAGCAGCTAATTTTCCTACAATAGAGGTTTTGCACAGCAGCCATGTTGGATGGCAGGATTACCCATGGGAAAAAATCTCTTTCTTATGCAAAATATTTTCATTGTTCCTGCCATCCAACATGGCTTCTGTGCAAAACCTTTATATCACCCCCCCCCCCGATCACACATTAGGGTCACGAGAATAAGAGAAATGGCCAGCAAGTAAGGAAGCTCTTGATTGTTAAACAAATTCTCATTTTCAGCAACTTAGGAAATGAATGGAGAACAGTATGGGGGATATGCATACTGATGTTAGGCTGTAAAGGGTTAACACAACTTATACACCATTCAGAGAGTAAACCATGGCCACAGAAAAGGAAATGGGAATGTAAAAAATATTTAAAATGCTTGCGTTGGTTTATTTGACTTTCATCAGAGTTCTTTGTCAACATCACTCACACACGAAGAGCTAATTACAAACTTCATGCTCCCCACGAGACACCTGAGCAACTCATATCAAGGGTCAGTCACAGTCTTGAAGAGATGGTAAAATCAGTGTGGGTTAGTGGATCATGCGTTGGAGGAGCTGATGGCTGTGGATAATTTTAAATAAGTTGCTGTTCCACACGTCTCATCTTCAAACACATTTGACAACCCACGAGGCTCTTTACCCTCAGATCAGCTGCATTTTTTGTGAACACTTTGGTCTCCACGATAAGACTTTGGATAATTCACATATACGGATTCATTGAGTTAAACAGCCCCGCAAAACGTTAGTAGCTAGAAGAGATCTTCCCATACGCATGATCACCATTTCACACGGACAATAATAATAATATTTAATAATAATAATAATATTTAATAATAATAATAATGATAATATTTAATAATAATAATATTCATATAGCGCGCACATCAAAAGCTTCTCGTGGCTCTTTACAATACTATAAAATAATAAAATAACCTAATGCACATAAATAAAATTCAATCAAACAAAAGAGAATTACTAGTTACAAATTTTGAAACGAGAAGAGTCTTGATGTTCTATCTAAAAATAGTTACGGAGCTAGATTTACGTATTGAAAAAGGAATACTGTTCCACAACTTAGAAAAAGTTCTGTCCCTGTAGGTTTTTTTCTTTGACACAGATTGCACAAGATAGTCCATAGAGCTAAAACGTAAAGATCTTGATGATAACTTGATCTTGCTTAGATCAGAAACATATGATGGACACAGATCATTGACAGACTTGTACACCAGCAACAGAAGCTTGAACACAGTACGATAAGATATAGGAAGCCAGTGATGCTTCACCAGTAATCGAGTGACATGATCAAATTTTCCCTTGCAAGTGACAAATCGAGCAGCTGTATTCTGTATTTTCTGTATTTTATTAAGTTGATGCTTAGGTAGGCCATAGTACAGATTATTACAAGAGTCAATACGCGAATAAAAGCATGTATAATCTTTGAGGTACAGTCACTTGTCAAATAACGACGTATCCTGAACAGATTTCTTAGGTGAAAGAGCGAGGTTTTGCAGAGATGTTTAATTTGATCATCAAAAGTCATGTTGTTGTCAAATATAATACCAAGGTTGGTAACTGACTTAGCAATGAAGATGTGTTCATTTCCAAGAATAATGTGATCAAGCGATGATCACGATCATGATCACGGATGTCAGTTGGCTTCCTAAAATTGGACGGATAGGCGGGAATATACCGTATAATTGCTTATTTTCGCACGAACATAATTTTAAAAAAATGGACGCATATTTCGTGGGATTTAAATTTCGGAATTTGGCCAAAAATGTATGTTAAAGGAAATTGAATTCTGCGAAAAATGTCAAAATACTGATCTGCATTATCAGTTAGTCTCAGAATATTTTTTTTCCATGACAATAGAGTAGTTTCCGAGAAGACCAGTAACAATAAGGTATTACTTTAATGTAACCTTACCCGATTCAGAACTATTGCGGACTGAGTAACTGTCATGGTAAATTAGCGATAACTTTATTTTCCATCGATTGAAAGTGAACGAAAACGTTATCGTTTCCGCGCAATATTTCGGACAAATTTCATTTCCCATTATCTTCCTTATCTGTTCCATTCGGTCAGTTTTTAAACAGCGATACGAGGTAAAGTTAGGAAAAAGGAGGGGCATCAGAAAAGAGGAGACATCCAACTTAGGTTTAGCACTGTTGCAACCTAATTATACGTATTGTAGGTTAGGTGAACGTTAAAGATGTCCCGCCGAGAGAAAATAACTCGCTTTCAATTCTCTCTCCAGCCAAAACGTTAGAGGTGCTCGCAGGACGTAGCGCCATAGCTTAGAAAATCTACCCCGATCATCAAGCGCAAATAACCTGTCACGTTCTCTTTCACTGTCCACTGAACCAAAGAGATGACAATCTTTTTTCTTTTGTCAAAAATATGAAAATCTTTTTGTCTCAAAATTCAACTCCTCCATCCCTCTTAGTACTGAAAAACCCCTGATTCCCCTCCCACCTCGTCACAAATAATGTCTGATCTATACGAATTGCCTAGGATATACTCGCCGACAATCAGAGAGGTGTTCCAATACATTGAAGGGCAGTAAAATGAACTCTCTGGAGCTCCGCTTTTAGCCTTGGTTTAATGTTAGTATTTTAAGATCTAGAGTCAACGAGACTGTTTTATGTACCGGTGGTTGGATTCTCTCCTTATCTCGCGACAGCAGGTATTTTATTGGCAGCAAATGACGATCAAGAGGTTGACTGGTGTCGTGGTGTACGTTTAACGCTTGCCTACCTCCAGTATGACAACATTAGTTTGTATTCTTTGGCAGCCAAAGTTCGGCTGCGCAGATGAAAATTCACAAGATTCTCGCATCACAATGTGGTAATCATCACCCGACATAAATACTAGGATCAATCTTAAGGCTAGCGTGGAAAAATATCGTTCAATATCAGTATATTAGCAACTGCGCACTTACCCTTTCCCTAACATAACAACAGTCAAATAATAACGACTTTTGATTGATCTTGTGTTAGGGGAGGGGTGGGTAGGTAGGTGCTCAGCTACTGACATTGATTCCAAAATATAGTAGGAAACAACCTTTCCCTATACCCCTTCTTCCCAGACCCTTCTGTTAACATTTGAGAGTGAAACACAGTTGTTCTTCTGCAGGCAGCTTTTAATGAGCTTTCCGTGCCATACTCAAATTACTTTCAGTTCAGGTCTCTTAGAAATATTAAGATATTTACATTAGTATAAAATAATAAGCAAAGCTATATACAAACTGAATAAATTATTGTATACAGCAGAGAGTGAAGAAAAACTCTTGGGGTTGACACAGTGTATGGAGAAATTTTATCAGTTCAAGATGAACTGGCTTTATCGTCAGCAATCTAGATCATTAGCGAAAGTTTGAGTAACCTATTTTTGAAGGCCTAAGGTCTTCGAGTGACTGAAGTAAAAATTCTCCTGTTTGGCGAAAAAAGTGGATCATTGTATTGGAAATCCATTTTCGACAAAAATTCTCAAACTCAAAACGCACAAAGTAATTCTTCGCATATTATCATTCAGTCTAACACTGTCATGAATTTCCAACGTTGTTTCGAACGAGAGTGTGGTAAAATGACACCATGCCGCGTGCTAAGCTACTGCTGTGAGCAGAAGTCTAGCGCAGAAAATCCATATCAGTACTACAGATGATCAGCGGGTTTGCGGCAGAACGGACAGCAGTTTTTCTGTAAAACCAGAAGCTCGTAGTCGTCTGTGTGGAATAACTGAAAAAGATTGGAGTAAAATATCAACTTGGAGTGATTGTGGACTACTTTCGCCGGCTTACTTCAGAGAGCTTATATTCAAGTCAGCATGAGAGTGAAATGAAGCGTTACGGAGTCAACACAGTGGTCAAACGTCGGGCATGCGCGTAGGGATCAGTTCTGGCCGGCCGCACGCCAATTTCCCGCGCAAAATATCAAAGGAAAACACCAGAAACAACTGCTGTATACTCTGCTGTATCGTAATTTTCCTCAAAAAAGGCTCGAAAGTCAATCCTTGCGTTTGTGTACTACAATTTTTTTCCATACAAAAGTTACTCGAGTAGCAGTAAAATAAACAAAAACACGGGCTCCTGACAAAAACTGACGTAGAAAACTAACTTACCCGGTTACACGACGAACAAAGTGTAATGGAGACATCGGGGAGAAGTGATCGGTAATATTGATATTTTAGGGGACTGGGCCACTTCTTTACTAGTACCTCGCGGCTGTTCATGGCCTGTAACGTCGAACGACCAACGCGGACTGGGACGAACTCAGATCCACCTTGCTGTGGGTAGTAAATAATTGTCAAGGAGACATTACAAGACTTTTACTCTCAACAAGACTTTTACAGACAGATAGTATAAAGTGACAAAAAAAAATGAAAATGAAATTCACGAAAATAAGGGAAGCTTTCAGCACTTTAGATGAAAAGAAATAATTATCACAGGAAGCCTAACTTAACTGCATGAATAAATTGCTCCAAAATAACAGGAAATCACAATTGTTTCTTTTCTTAGAGGGTGTACTTAAAATGAGACCAATTATATGGACAGAGGAGAATGCATGTGAATTTCATCAAACTCTAATTTTTTTTTAACGAAATTCAACTAGTTTCCTGTATAAAAGTAAGGAATGTAATTCCTATTCTTTGCTAAATTTAGGAAGATTTCCCGCCATGAATTGGAAAAAATCATTAAAATTAAATATTTCACCAGCTGGTTATCAAAAACACTTAAGACTGCCTTCCTTAATTCTCTTCTAAATATATATGCATGATAAATGATAAATGATAAATGATAAATGATAAATGATAAATGATAAATGATAAATGATAAATGATAAATGATAAAAAAGCAGTCTGAGGATCACAAAAGACCGCTTAGCTCGTCCAGCTTACAGCAATCAGTTCTGACAAAATTTGGTTCATCAGCGTAACGAATTTAGTAACAAATGGCTGGAAACATTGTGTTATGCAAGGTTGGAAAATTCTCCACACAGTATTCATCGTATAGAAGTAAAATAAAAAGGAAATTGAAAAAAAAAAACTAAAATTAAAAAAAAAAAACAATAAAAAAAAACCCCAGAAAACACAGAATGATTTCTATTCAATGAAGCACCATTGCGTGGCCTGATATCGGCTTTTTTTTTTTAACTACCGCGGCGCAACTCGCCTAAGCGTATCACCAAAGTAAACATTTACCCCATTTTTTTTGTTGTTGGAAATTTAAAGAAAGAACCGCTGCAATGTCGACATCTTCACGTTTATTTGAATATTTTCTTCCGTTCTGTGACAGAAAAAGTGAGGCCTTTAGTTACGCGAAATGTAGAGCTCACACAGGTTTTCCTTGTTTGCAGCTGGTGTATCTCTTGCTTAGCAGCCGCCCAGTTTTGTTAACTCCAAGAAGATATTTTTGGTGGATAAATAAAATTTTTGTAACCACCAGATCTATCTTGTCTATTGTCATAGTTCTAAATTATGCAAGTTCAAAATACGGTTCTGAAAATACGCTTAACTTCTTCGATTAACAGCAGCATTTGAATTTTTACTATTTTCTGTCTAGGAAGAGTTATTTATGTTCACATTTTCACTGGGAAGGGAGTCCTTCGCAAAATCAAACTGGTAAACGACGAACAATTACGAGGTTACATTAAATACATTGAACTGTATGAAAAAGGGAAGAGATAAACATACAATGGGGCCGTTTAAACGAGAAAAATAATCCGCAGCTTACATGCACGCAGCGGCAAAAGAAATCTTTCAGTACGTTTCAAGTTAAACGAGCTGCAGCTTAAACAAGGCCCGAAATCATTTGTATAAATAGCATTGCGGCTTGTTCGCGGCTTACGTAAGACGCGAACTTACACTGTGCAAGCGCACTTTTTTCCCTCACGCTTTTGATCGCGTTAGTAGGTTTTTCCCGCCTCGCAGCCCGCTCGCACAAATAAACTCTTAGTCACAAACACCAGCGTAGAGGCTCACCTCAAAACTCATCAGCTTCGCTGTAAACGGATCGTCTTCTTCCTCTTCGGGGGGTTCATCTGTGAACTGCAGGGACTGAAAGTCTAGTTCGTTGTCAAGGACGTGTTTCAAAGCAGAGATTGGGAACAATGTTCACCTCTTAATTACTTGGGATTTGGATGAAAAAAAGATTAGAAGTATATTGGGGTGCAGATGTGATATTTTTAGATTTCTATTATAAGACGAGGGAGAACTATGTTAGATTTGATATGGTACGAATTTCATGTTTGGTCAGAGCTACCCTTACACCCTAACATCAACATTCAAATTTTCCCTACTCTTGTCTGTACCTTTCCTTTGGTACTGACAAGGAGAATTTGTTTAACAATCAATGCTTCTTAAGTTAGTGACCATTTCCTCTGTCTCATGACCTTTACTGACATTTGCCTCAAGGATGATACTCCAAGGGGAAATCGAAAGCCAATCACTCTTGGGGGTTTAAAGTTTTAACCCTACAGGGATCGGAAAATCATCTTATAGTATACAGGATACTTCCCATATCTCTCTCCTCCCAGTTTGAGCGCTTCTTTTCTCGGGTCTTGGGTGGTTCCACCTCGATCAGTTTCAAAGCATCCCCATCACTGGAAAAAAACCAAAACAAAAACAAAAAAACAACAACCACATTTAGAGAACACAGTCCATTTGAAACGTTGAATGACGAGGGGGTACTCCAAAACAGCTTACAGTTTCCTATGTTCAAATTCTCCATGGAAATTTCTGTTCAATAGGACGTACTGCAAAGGAATATTTTCGCAGGATTTTTTTTTTTTTTGGGAAAAAGTTTGGAGGGCTTTTCGTTTTAATATGTTTGCTGTGTTGGATATTTTAGTGCAATGTTCTCTTGCATTATTGTTATGTGCTCTGTCGAGGTTTTTCAAGTCCCCACAGTCTTTATGGCTTAGGCAGTAAAAACGCCCGACTGGTATCTGGTCGGTACCTGTTGGAGCACCACTTGGCCTCAATTTCATGCGACTTCAGTTTCTTCATTTGCAATGTATCCGAGAGGATCTATTCGTTACCCTTCATCCTCCAATCAAATATGATCATTTACGTTTGTTAAGAAACCCGGGTCACGCTATTCTTATTTTGCGAGCTGGCTGTCTTTGGCGGTACGACAGGTAAATGGTGTGAGCGCGTTTGTAAGTCCTTGGGGCTTCTGGTAAATCTTAAAGCCAGACCCCGAAAGACCTTTCACACGCTCGTTCCGCGCACCGGCTCGTATTTCGTGTGTTTGGCTGCTCGTACCGCAGCGCTAATGAGAGCCTGCTGACAGGCTATATTATCACCGTCAAGCTACATCACCTGATGCCGTCTTCCAACACAAATTCGACCAGCGGAAGTACCTCTGAAAAGAAGAAAAAAAAGGCGTTATATGCAATAAAAAATAATAATTACCTTGCGTAAAAAACCACGTGATCAAACATGAGGTGAGTTTGAGACGCAAACCCTGCACTGCTTTATACAACTCTTAATGCTTTCGTAAATTGACCGACGAGGAACGAAATTTTATACTGAGCCTACAATAACTGGTTGAACCAAATGTGGCCACACACTTCCTGTAACAAGGGCGTACCTACTGCTTCCGGTTACTGAGATAAAGTCTTACCGAAAGATGAAAATGAATAAACAAATGGCTGTCCACAGTTGATACACTGATTTCCTTTGTTGTTCAAGAGGGGATTCGTAGTTGAACAGCGGTAACACAGCGGAAGAAGTTCCTACAAAGAAAAATCAAAGGAAAAAACCGTTTCTTCAATAGCTACAAACCTGGTGATGATGACTCTGCATTGGGAGAAACAAGTTTTGACAAAAAAATTCTGTCGCTATTTACCTCGTTGTCGTGGAAAGGTTTTGAGCGAATGGTAACACTTCCCAGGTCGATAGATTCTTGAAAACGTAGAGGAATCTTCAATGACTTCACACACAGACGACAAAAGTAGAGAAAAAGGTAAGAAAAAGCCAATCCAGATAAATTTTTGTATTAGAGTCGAGAGGCACCGTCATATACCCTGCGTTGAGTCGATCAAGGACAACTCAATCTAGAGCCCAACAGTTTGCTACTGTGACAAATTTACCAGGAAGAAAACTGTTTACTTGCGATAAAACCATAAAATCCTCTGGGGGGTTTTAATGACTTTTTTCCATTAGCGGCTACCAATGCTGTAATAAGCGGCTGCACCCGCAAGAAGAGTTGTCACTGGAACACCCTTTATAGGCTTTAAATCTTTGTGAAACTTTTTTAAAGTCACTCACCTGTAGTTTGTCGTAAGCCGTACGTGCCATTTTGTAAGCTCCTAAATTCTTGCTTTGTTTGGCGAGCGCAAACAACGTCGAACTGTACAAGAGTTAAGGTCTATTTGTCAGTCGAAAACTTTTACTGCGAATGCGACCAGCAGATGTCTCCATATCAACGCGTAAAACTCTAACAAAAGACATACATGTGGCAAACAGTCTTCAGTATTTCTGTTTTTATCACTTTTTTGCAGTAGCGTAGATCAAAGTTACATTCTGAACGATGCTCAACAAGCAGGCTTGTTTAGTTCAATTGTTTTTCTAAGTCAAAGGATACACTCTTGACACTCCGGGTGGGATTTCTTTTACCAGCATATGTAGCAAATAACGAGCGATGTTGAAAAGCGTCTCGGGAAGATGGGAGGTGAATGGCTCATCCTGAAGGGAAAAAAAAAAAAACAGAATCCTGCTAAGTTTCCCACACGTTAGACATAGATCATTGCGGTAACCTAACTACAGTTGCATTTCGCACAACACAAATTGGCAGTAAGTCTTACAGTGCATCTTTGGCCGTAAGTCTTACAGTGTATCTTTGGCAGTAAGTCTTACAGTGTATCTTTG